CAACGAGAGCAACGAGAGCAACGAGAGCAACGAGAGCAACGAGAGCAACGAGAGCAACGAGAGCAACGAGAGCAACGAGAGCAACGAGAGCAACGGGCAGCATGGGGGTTAGGTCGCGGCCGAGAACACATGCACAGGGCTCTAGTTGGCTCTACGAATCACACTCCTCAAGATCAAGCAAAAGGTCTCCAACAACAAAATCCTCGCTCATCCAACACCATTGTTCCTCCTCCCCCAATCCTACTCACTCACGCCCCAGCTGGATCACACGCTCGCACAGCGCGTCGATATCGCCATTAAGCTCCGTGATGCCCACGGCGCGCGCCATGTCCACCACCGCCTGCGTGAGGTTACGGTCCACGCGCATCATGTCCGTCACCTCGGCCCACAGCTTCGCGGCCTGGCCCTCGAGCTCCTCGGCGCGCGCCTCGACGCCGCGTAGCCGCGCCTCGACGTACCGGTAGACCCCCCTGCGGCGGAGGCGCGCCGCGTCCTGGCCTCGCTGCGCGCGGAACTCCACGGTGGCGGCGGCGAAGGCGGCGAGCTGCACATGCGGCGCGCGGCGGTTGATGCGCTGCGCGTAGGCCCACTGGCTGGCGAGGGCGTCGGTGAGGGCCTTGCCGGCGACTTGGAGGCGCTGGTGGCGCTCGTTGAGCTCTTCGAAGATGTCTTCTACTGCGATGCCGTCCAAGGAGCTTGGGGCGTCGGGGTGGGCGAGGGCGGCTCGGATTTCCTCCTGCGAGGGCGAGGCAAGCCAGGTCAGCGCCGGTCCATGGCTCCAGAGGTTCTAGACAAGGGAGGTGACGATAGAGACCTACTTCGGTGATGGGTACCATAGCATAGGCGTGGGCGGCGTTTCTCAAGCGCTCCTCCTCCGCATCCGCCTTGCCGGGGTAGTGCTTCGTGCCGCTGGCCGGCTCGACGCCCTGCAGCCAGCGCTCACAGTCCGAGTTGCCGACATAGCGAGGCGTCGGCCATGCCTTGGCCTCTTCAGCGGCATCAGCTCGCTGTCGAGCATCGGGATCAGAGCCCGCCTTAGCGATGCCCGAGTTCAAATCAGACTCGTCGGTCTCCTGGCTGCGGTTTAGTCCATCACCATCACCATCATCATCATAACGCCACACAAGCGGCATTCGCAACACATACATCATGGTTCTGTACAGCAACTCTGTCACCAGGACCGGTCGCACGCTCGCTCTCGTCCGCAGCGCCGTCGGCCCATAGGCGGAACGTGCAGGGCGAGATGCGTCCGTCCGCAACGTCGTCCTCGCCATCAGACACATCATACAACTCTACAAAACTCGGGCATCAGTCTGGGGCCGCCGCTCTCCGCTCTCCGCTCAGTGGCGGGACGGAGTGTCGGTGGCCTGCTTACCGGCAAAGGAGGGCTCCGTCTTCTGATGATCCGGGCTGCTCTAGAACTCGGCATCCGAAGGGCCTAGAGGAGGGAACCCGACATGGTCAGCGTCAAGTCGCGGCTTTTTGATGGGATGTAGAGCGCCTTTACCGTCAATGTCGTGCTTGCCTCCGAGATGGGCCTGGCGCTTGATGCCTCGAACAATGTGCTCCGGGAGGCCAGGGTCATTGTCTTTGTTGGACGCCGCGTCTGCGGGAGGCGCGATGTGGCCATATTCTGGGCGAGGGACAGTGAAGACATCCTGCGTTCCTGGGCCGTCGTTATTTGGCATCTCAGCGTCCACCGCAGCCGAGCTGATCACACATTAGCATCTACATTTCTTTGGCAGGAAGGGAAAACGTACAGCATATGATTGTCGACGATGTTGGCTTCATCCATCGACGCTGCAACGGCAGTGACAGCCTGGTCCGCGGAGTCTGGGTCGGTAACGGTCTCCCCACCGAGCATGGCGTTGTACGCCACCATCATCGAGTTGCTCATACGCCATTCACCGCCATTATCCGAGCCCGCGGTGCAGCCCTCGACCCGAAGGAACGATTCGTCGCTGCCGGGCGGCGAGGGGCCAGCCGAGGTCGAGCTCGAACAGTAGTCGGGCGACGCGGGGATCACCGTCTCCAGCGCGTCTGCAAACCTCACAGTCTTTGGGGTCGAGAACGCCGCCGAATCATCAAACATGTCGTCTCCGGCGAGGTATTTAGTCATTTCTCCGGCTCCGTTATCAAGCTCACCTGCAGAGGCAGCGTCGTTGGTGGTGAGGGACGTAGTGTCAAGAGAGTGGAGGTCGGTGTTGTCCGTCGCCATGGCGGGATCAATGAGGTCGTCCTCGGAGACGTGACCAGTGGTGAAGCCCATCGAATATCCTCCTCCCTGGCTGTAGCGGGCGCTCTGGTCCGTATTATCAGGAGACCGAGCCGCGTCACGATCCTCGTTACCACGAGGAGCCATCATGATGCGTTCTCCTTTTCGTAGTTCTGTCGAGAGTCAGCGGGAGGTTCGACAAACGGACACTTCTGCAAGATGACAAACCTCTGTCGGCTGCGAGTAGCGGTGCGTTGGAAGGTTGGATCGATGATTGTGAGCTTGAAGTATCAAGTGTGGCAAGGGAGCGGGAAGCGATCTTGGGTTGCAGTAGCCACGCGCGATGAAGTTGTGATGGCAGCGGCCAAAGAGCAGCGCGTGAGGTGCAAGGGAGAAACAAGGTAGGACTGGTTCAGGTGCAGACGCGACTGGAAGTACGAGGAAAACAGAGGCGCCGGCACAGAACCGGTTCGTTGCTGGGGCGTTGTCCTGGCTGAACAGGCCCGTTGAACATGCGCCAGCAGCATGGCAACCAGCCGCCTCGCTGGGTGCTCTCTGTTCACGCAGTTCAATTTTCACAAGCAGGGAAACACGCTGGATGGTCCAACAAATGTTGACACTGGTGTCAGAGTTTGAATACCACGATGCTGCGCCACCGTCAACTCCAAGATCCCATCCCACCCATGCCCACGACTCGCAGTCTCAACACACTGCGCCCAAGACAAAATATGCATATTCAATACAGATGCAGTACCCTGCTCCAGACGGGGGGGAGGCTCATTTCTTTCCTTTCTTGCCCTTGCCCGCCTTAGGCTTGGCTTCACCGCCGTCATCGTCCGCAGCATCCTTGGTTTTCTTTGCCACCTTCTTGGCCGGCTTCTTCGCCTTGGGTTGTTTGATGTATTTGTCCTTCTTTAAGTCAATCTCGTCATCGTCTACATCGGCAGGCTCGGCCACGTCCGCCTCGTCTTCTTCTTCGATGGCCTCCTCCAGGTCGGGCGCCTCTTTGGTCTGCTTTTTCGGGGCCAAAACGTTGCTGGCCTTCATGAAGGGGACAGGGTGGTTCATGGCATTGTATCTGCAACACACGTTAGCTCAAGGATCCTTCAAAAGAAAAGGAGGGGGATGAATCAGCAACTGACGTTCTAGTAAAGGCAGCCTTTGTCTTCGTCTCGATGCTGACCTTCTCCTCCGTCATGGGTCCGACGCCGAGCTCCTGGATCGCGTCAAAGTCCTCGCGGGTGAGGAAGTAGCTGTCCATCAACTCGATGACATCGTCAACGCAATCCGTGCCTTCATTCTGTAACCGGTTGACCATTTGATTCCACAGCACGGGCATGTACTCCTGGCGGATCTCGTTATGATCACCTGAGGACTTGAGACGCATGTGAGAATGTATCTCTCGGACGTATCTGCCCAACTTGCCAGTCTTGCTAAAGTTGCCCAGCCAAGACGTGAAATTTGTGCCCATGAGTTGTCCGGCAATAAAACTTGCAGGACGGACGGTACTGAAGACGGCATGGGTTGGCATCAGGCTCCAATGCTGCTGCGGGCCATGGATCATGCGATCCACCAGGTCGCCATCGCTGATGCTCTGCGCCGCGTTGTCGAACAGCTCCAGAGCCTTGAGATTCTCCTCCCGTCTCGTGTAGCCCTTGCCGTTCAAAGCCATGGGTTTTGTGCGCAGATAGTTCTCCTGGATCATGAGAAAGCTGAACTCGTGATCGTTGAAATACAGTTCAATCTTGTCGTTGAGGGTTGCTTTGCTGGCTGGAGCAAACAGCCCACCGGCAAGCATCTTCTGGCAAATATCCCACGGCTTCAGGACGACGTGCTTCTCCCAGGCTTTTGTCATGGCCTTCCCTTGGTCGTAATCCATGCTGCTTTGGTCGAGTTTCGCCGTCGAGATCATGTTGATGATTTGGCGAATGTCCTTGTTGCTACCCTCGATGAGTGCGTCGACCACAGGCACAGGCAACTTCAAGCCTTCCCGGTGGCAGATGGTCATGATGCGCGACCTGACTTGATCGACAGTCGGCCGGTTGAATCTGATGTCAAAGGTGACATGATCGAAAGGCTTCATCTTGGGCAGCTTCCGTTCATTGCATATCAGGATAAGGGGGACTTCGGTGACTCTGCAGAATTTCGCCAATGCGCCGACACCGCCTCGATCGCCAGCTGACATACCATCCACTTCGTCCATGACGAGAACGATCTTCTTCTTTGACGTGTCCACGGACTCCCCATCACCTGCAAAGTACCCGAGAAGCGATGTGTTGTTCATCACGTCGCTCACACCAGCCTCGACAAGCTTCTTGCTTCTGGTGTCACTGGCATTGCTCTCCAGAACATCGTAACCCTCCAGCTTAGCGGCCAAGTGCGCGGCGGTCGTCTTGCCTATGCCCGGTGGACCAGAGATGATGATTGCACGTGCTCCGCCCATGCCGTCTGCACCCCGTCGCTGGAAATTGTACTTTTTCGACTTTGGCCAATTCTTGAGCCAGGACTGGATCTTCTCGACCTGGCCCTTGTTGCCGCAGATGTGGCTGAGTTGCGTCGGCGCATACTTCGAGGTCAGCAGCTGAACGGTTGTCTTTGCAGCTTGTGGCGCTCGTCCGGTTGTGCCTCGGGAGGCAGCGGCTTCCTTGGCCGCCTTTGCCTCGGCGGCCTTCTTGGCCTTTTCTTCTGCTTCCATCTCGGCCACTTGCTGCTTCACCTTTTCTTCCTCCGCCTTCTTCTTCTCCTGCGCCTTCTGTGCACCTTTGCCAGATCCACCGTAGGCAGGTAGCTTGCGAATAAGGTCGAAGAGTCCGTTCTCGTCGATAGTCTTGATACCGTGTGATTTGATCTTGGCCAATTTGCTAGGGCCAGCATCTTCACCAAGAACCACGAAGCTCGTTTTGCTGCTTGGTTGACCAGTTACCTTGCCGCCATAACGCTTGACGAGCGCCTGGGCCTCGTCGCGCCCAATCGTTTGCAAAACGCCAGTGAAGACAAAGGAGAGGCCACTCAGGCACTCGTCTGCTCCATCCGGGACATCCGCCATGCCCGTTGGCTGGGCTGATGCGTTGCCCCCGCCAGCAGCTGCCTTTCGCCAGTCGAACTTTGCGTTTGGGTCCTTCGGGGGAGGTGTAGGGGGACGGACTGTAGCGACGCTGTCTAGGATGTCTTGGATCTGGGAATCTTCCGGCTCGTCTGCTTTCTTGGCCTTCGGGGCTCGAGAGTTCGCCGTGGTCGGCTTCTTTCTTGGTAGTTCCTCTTCTTCCTCATCATCAGAATCCTGCGAGGGGGTTTTACGTTTCCGACTGACAGCTGTAGTCTTGTCGCTTTTGGCGGGTTCGTTGGTGACCTTGGGCCCAGTAGCGTTTCTTCCGCGAGGCGCGACTCTCTTGGGTTGCGGGAGGACCTCGTCCTCAGATTCTTCCTCGACGTATTCATCATTCTTGCGCTTGCTCCGTCCCTTCACATCAGCGGCATAGATATCATCGGCATCTTCGTCTGCATCCTCCATGTATGCATCATCATCCTCCGTTTTGTGTTGCTTATAAGACACCCCTTTCTTCTTGGCTTGAGTGCCGTTGGTAACGGGGCCGTCTTGCTTCGGGGCGGACTGCTTCGTCCGAGGGCTGGACCGAACAGGGACTTCCTCCTTCACCTGGACCCTGCTTGAGCTTTTCTTCGGGGTCGTCGAGATTTTGGACTTTTTGCCGTCATTGGTCGACGCAAAGTAATCGTCGGCAGAAATTGCAACTCCCTTTGGTTCGACATCTCTGTCCAGGCGTCAGAGAACATTACTGCTTATGGGGGTGAAGCGGAAACTTACGCCTTCTTCTTCTTCGGTGCTGCCTTGGCTGCAGGCTTCTTCTCTCTGCTGAGGGTCAGCTAAGGAAGAGGCGTTGCTATCAATATGGACTTACTCGACAGCCTCGTCGTCCTCGCTGTCCTCGACAACTTTGCGACCTTGGAGCATAATTAGCATGCGGTGATGTAACGGCTCGAGGGGCAAAGCATACCTCGCTTGCCCTTTGTCGGCTCTTCTTTTTTGGCCGGAGCTGGCTTGGGAGCAGCCGCACCACCTTTCGGTGCAAAGAACGACCGGATGTCGGGCATCTTGTCCCGAGATTGACTTCTTCGGTTGTTCAAGGGGCAACTCAAAAGCTCAGGTTTGGACCTCGAGGTCCTTTTATCACCATTGGCGATGTGCTGCCTGATGCCCGAGAGCTGTCGTTGAAGGCAGCACGGCAGCCTGGAAATTGATGGCCTAGTGACGTGCACGCCAGACCCGCTCCAGGACGCGAAGCTGACGCGAGGTCCGTGACTTGAGCTTAATTGGCCTGTCCTCAGGCCTGAGAATTTAGGCCGTCGAGCCACCACCAATTGTGCTGAGTCAGCCATTTTGATGGTTCTCGGCTTGACTTGCGGGAAGATTTTCCGAAGCTCTGCGACGAACAGCGTCAACGACGGTACGACCAGCCGGCACGATGAAGCCCGTCAGCACAACAGCATTGCTCAATGCCTTCCAGGGGCTGAGGCTATGCAGCTCCTCGCCGCTGCAACAGCTCAGGGCGCCGATTCAGCACGCATCGAAAACCATCGCCATCGCGCCACGACTTCAGAATGCGAGAGCTTTCTCGACGACCGCCCCGGTCCTGGGCACCTGGCTGGAACCCAGCCTGAACCGCAAGAAGAAGATGGCCAAGGGACGTCCGCGTGTCGCGACGGGCGGCTCTACAAAGGGCACGACAGTCATCTGGGGCGACTACGGGCTGCGAATGATTGATCATCACCGGAGAATCAGCGCCAAGCAGCTGAAGATGGCCGAGGACACGATCAAGGTGCGGCTTCGAGGCGAGAAATATCGGCTCTACAAGAGGAAATGCTGCAACGTCGGCGTTTACGTGAGCGGCAACGAGGTACGAACTAGCTTGCGCTCGGGCGGAACAGGGACAATCATTGACCTGCGTCGGTAGATGCGAATGGGTAAAGGCAAGGGTTCTTTCGACCACTGGGCCACGCGCATGGCCGTGAGCCAGGTGCTTTTCGAGATCAAGGGACGAATCCACGAGCAAATCGTGCGAGATGCGTTCCGTCTGGCGGGCAACAAGCTGCCTGGTGAGTCTCAATGCTTAATACGTCAAGCTGATTATTGCTGACAATGTCGCAGGCCAATGGGAGTTTGTAAAGAGGGGTGATGCGCCGATGGTCGGCATCACGAAGCTCGATGGAGTTACACTCGAGGACCTCAAGAGACCAAGGCGGCAAATCGCGCCTGCCGAGCTGCTAGAGGCTTCGTCGCCGACGACCGTGACCGAGGCTGGAAGCACGTCCGAGGCGTCACGATGATTGTTTAGCTGTATTCATACCAAAGCGCGGTCATGTACCATAGATTCTGTAACAAATGAGGCCCACAGTAGCCATGAAATCGAACATTTTCGACCTTGCAAGCTGCAGACTAGCGGGTGAAGCTCCAGGCGATGGCCGTGGTGATTCCTCAAATGCCTATTTGGGGGTTGTCCGGACGGGAGTGCACGGGCCACCCGCCTGGACAGTGCGAACCTAAGTGCCCGCCCGTGGACCTTCACTGTCACCCAGCCCACCTGCCTGCCTCCAGTGCACTTAACGCGCCGACGCGTCTCCGACCAAAAAAGCACCACGCCAGCTTCAACCTCCCAGCACGGGTGCCCTGAGTCGCAAAAATGGCCCTCATCGTCGACAAGCATCGGCCGCGGTCGCTCGAGGCCCTGACATATCACAATGAGCTGTCGGAACGGCTCCGGTCGCTCGTAAGTCGGCCATTCTGGTCGTGCGCGAGCCGTCCCGCGAATGCACCAGCTGACAAGCGTTCCGCAGGCTCAAAGCGGCGACTTCCCCCATCTCCTGGTATACGGTCCCTCAGGCGCCGGCAAGAAGACGAGGATTGTCGCTACGCTCAAGGAGCTGTACGGCCCGGGCGTCGAGAAGATCAAGATCGATGCGCGTGTGTTTCAGACGAGCAGCAACCGCAAACTCGAGTTCAACATTGTCGCCTCCATCTACCACCTCGAAATCACCCCGTCCGACGTTGGCAACTACGACAGAGTCGTCGTCCAAGACCTGCTGAAGGAGGTGGCTCAGACGCAGCAGGTTGATCAGTCGGCCAAGCAGCGGTTCAAGGTGGTGGTCATCAACGAGGCCGACCACCTCACGCGCGACGCGCAGGCCGCGCTGCGTCGCACCATGGAGAAGTACTCGCCCAACCTGCGGCTGATCCTCCTCGCAAACTCGACGTCCAATATCATTGCGCCGATTCGCTCGAGAACGCTACTGGTACGCGTTGCGGCACCCACGCACGAGGAGATATGTGACGTCCTCGCCCAATCGGCGAAGAAGGAGGGCTGGGAGGTCATCAAGGGCCTGCACAAACGCATTGCGGAGGAGAGCGGCCGAAACCTTCGAAGAGCTCTGCTCATGTACGAAGCCGTTCACGCGCAAAAGTAGGTTGCCGTTCTTTGGCGATTATCCGGATGGGTACTGACATGACCCCTGCAGCGAGAAAGTAACAGAAAGCACGCCAATCCCGCCGGCGGACTGGGAGGCATTAATCGGACAGATCGCCAAGGAAATCATGGAAGAGCACACCCCGGCCAGGATTTTGCAAGTCCGGTCGAAACTCTACGACCTCCTCACGCATTGCATTCCACCGACGACGATTCTCAAGACCCTAACGTTCAAGCTGCTGGCACTCATCGACGACGGACTCAAGGGAGAGGTGATTCTGTGGTCCGCCTTTTACGAGCACCGGATTAAGACGGGCACCAAGGTCATCTTCCATCTCGAGGCGTTTGTGGCTAAGTTTATGCGGATATTCGAGATGTACCTGATGAGCATGGACATGTAAGGGGGACAGGGACCAAGTGTCGTGGCAGGTATTGGAGTCTGGCGTGTGTTCTGGCATTTGCAACCAACTACTTGTTTCAAAAGACCTTTTCGAGATGGATTGGCGCTCAGAACGGGCCGGGGCCTTGTGGCGGCCAAAGGTGTGTCCTTGCACGCAGTGTCGTACATAAGTATGTGCTATCCCTTCATCCCACCATGTGCACAGCATGATCTGGGAATTGAAAAGAGGAGTGCTATTCGTAGAGCCAACTTTTTGCTAGTTGTAGAGCCCTGCTACACTTTTGTTCTCGGCCGCGCCATACTCCCATGCTGCCCCAGTGATTTTTTACTGCGCACTGGCGTAGGCATGGGACGGCAGCGGCGCGCTGCCTATTGGTTTCGTTGCTTTCGTTGCTATTGCTCCTATAGGCTCTACAACTACATAATAGCAAAAGTTGGCTCTACAAATAGCACTACTCTTGATCTTTGTCGAGGAGAGAGAGAGATTCGCCCGGATGAATGGGCATTGGAAGACGGAATGCACAGAGGCTGGTCGTTCGACATGTCGCGACTGGCCGGCCGGGCGTCGCGGTGTGCTGCTTGTGGGACACTGGACATGTTTGGTCGACTGGCAGGGACTGCGTGGCGTCAAAGACCTTGAACGTCGAGCATTGTGGATTTCAAGGACTGAAGACGTCAACAATTGTGGACGGCGTCAAGACAGGAAGGACTATAACGATGGATGGTGGTATACATGTGCAACGAGTGCACAGGGTGGATTAGGAGTAGAAGGTAGTCTCGCGCGCGTCCGTCCCGGCCTGGGGAACAAGGGCGCGTCGTGATGCAGGCCGCATGCGCATGTACATGGAAATACCACTGTCCCTCCGAGATTCTTTGGCCCCCCTTTATTTCCAAAGATTGTATCGTCGTCTTTCTTTTGGTTCACCCGCCATGCTAGACGCAAAACCCACGAAACGAAACGTAAATCCACCGTCATGAGAGGAGCATGATAATACATCTTATCCAACAACGCCGGCCCGGAGATCCCCCGACAACAATAGTATATAATAGTACAATGGTTCTTTTTTGGTGGCTCGGCTACCGCGTGGTGGTGCGGGCGAGCCGTGTGTTCATGTCATGAATGAATCTGACTGCGAGTCGTCTAGCTGTTCTTGACGACGCCGACCTTGGCAGCGCGAAGGACGCGGCCGTTGAGCTTGAAGCCCTTCTGCTGGATGTGGAAGACGGTGTTGTTCTCCTTGTCGGGCTGCGGGGCCATGAAGGTGGCCTCGTGCTCGTTGGGGTTGAACTTTTCGCCATCCGGGTCTAGCCGCTCCAGGCCGTGCTTGGCGAGCGTCTGGAGCAGGATGCTCTCGGTCATCTTGAGGCCGTCGTAGAGGTTGACGAGGTCCTGGTTGACGGCGGCGTCGAGCTTGTCGGCGGGCACGGTGGTGAGGGCGCGGTCGAGGTTATCGACGCTCTCGACGAGGTCCTTGGCGAACTTCTGGATGGCAAAGTCGCGGGCCGTCTTGACCTCGCGCGCGGTGCGGTCCTGGAGGTTGCGGAAGTCGGCGACGGTGCGCAGGCACTTGTCCTATTTCCTCTCTGTAAGCACCTGGTCTATGATTATTTGCGACAGGGCAGGGGGCGCGAACCTTCCACTCCTTGGCCTCGTTCTCCTTAGTCTCGAGCGTCTTCTTGAGCTCGGACAGCGCATCGGCCTCGCCGGCCTCCTCCTTGGCCTCGGGCTTGTCCTTTTCACCCTCGGCCGGCGCCTCCTTGGCCTCACTGTACCAGCGAGCGACGGAGGGCTGGGCTGCCCGGGCGACGAGCGGTGACGGCATAGCGGACTGGAACTGGGGCCGCAGCATGGGCTTGCCGGCGGCTAGCCTGGGGGCGGAGCGCAGAGCTCTGGAGGAGGAGGAGAGGACCTGTCGGAGCATTGTGGCTAGGCGAGGGGAAATGTGTGGTCGAAAAGGGTATCTGGGGGTCGGAATGGCGGTCAATTCGTCTCTTTGACGGCTGGGAGGACGAAGGGGAAGCTATCGCGTGAGCGGCAAAGGCAGCAGAGACAGCTTGGGATCGGCCCAAGACGGACGCTGAAATTTCAACGCCGGGCGCCGGAGGCGGGCGCAGGGGAGGCGGCGGATCAACGACGGTCCGCCACACGGCGCTCTCTAGAAGCGGAAGGAAGCCGGCGCTGTGGGAGGAAGGAAGGTTGGAAGGGAGCTCGGCGCCCCGGTTTTCCGGGAGCTGCCATTGACTGCCTGGCCTGCGTCGCCGGGGGTGCCCCCTTGGCTGACGCGCGCTGTGGCTACCTGCTGCACCACCAACGAGGCTGGACGCCGACAGCTCAGACACTGGACTGCACCATCACCATCACCACCACCATCACCAGCCGTCACCAAACAGTCCGCTCCCTGCATCTACCGACGACGCAGCGGCGACTGATCTAGCAAAGCCCCAACTCGCGTGCCACCTCTCGCACTTCTCACACACTCCTCCTCCTTCGCCGCACCCGCCCGTCCGCCCGAAGAACACACACACATCCACAATGGCGGCCGGCGACTCGAGCCGGGTCCAGGAAGCCCAGAAGCTGGCCAAGACGGATCCCCGGCAGGCAGAGGCCATCTACAAAGACATCACCTCCAAGGCGCCCCAGGCGACTTCCGATGCCGCCACCAGAGAATACGAGACGGCCTTGATAAGCCTGGGCGAGCTCTACAGGGACGAGAAGTGCGTCTCCTCCACCGCGCCGTGCCACCGTGGAAGCTCGCAGAGATTGGACCGCTGACACCCGGACAGGAAGACGCAAGAACTGGTAGACTTGGTGCGCGAGAGCCGCTCCGTGTTTTCCTCTTTTGCCAAGGCAAAGTCTTCAAAGCTCGGTGCGTGCGGACCTTGACACTCTCACATGGTCCAAGTAGCTGACTTGCGCGCTCCCTCAGTCCGGCAATTGCTCGACCTCTTCAAGGATATCCCAAACAGCACCGACACCGAGGTCTACGTCACAAAAGATTGCATCGAATGGGCCACGGCCGAGCGTCGCGCCTTCCAGCGCCAGGACCTCGAGGTCCGCCTGGTCGCCCTCTACATGACCAAGCAATCCTACTACGATGCCCTGACCCTCATCAACGGCCTGTTGCGTGAGCTCAAGCGCCTCGACGACAAGCTCCGCCTCGTCGAGGTCCAGCTCCTCGAGTCCAGAGTCTACCACGCCCTTGGCAACATCCCCAAGGCCCGCGCCGCCCTCACCACGGCCCGGACGAGCGCCGCCAGCGTCTACACGCCGCCCATGCTGCAGGCCAACCTCGACATGCAGAGCGGCATGCTCCACGCCGAAGATAAGGACTTCAACACGGCCTTCTCCTACTTCATCGAGGCCCTCGACGGCTACCACAGCCTCGACGAGAGCGCCAAGGCCCAGGCCGCCCTGCAGTACATGCTGCTGTGCAAGATCATGCTCAACCTCGTCGACGACGTCAACCAGCTCATGGCCTCGAAGCAGGCCGTCAAGTACGCCGGCAAGAACCTCGAGGCCATGAAGGCCATTGCCCGCGCGCACTCGAACCGCTCCCTCGAGGAGTACGAGCGCGCCCTGTCGTCGTACCGCTACGAGCTGGGCAGCGACGCCTTCATCCGCAACCACCTGCGCCGCCTCTACGACGCCATGCTCGAGCAGAACCTCATCAAGGTCATCGAGCCCTTTTCTCGCGTCGAGATCGACCACATCGCCAAGATGGTTGGCCTCGACACCCAGCAGGTCGAGCGCAAGCTGTCCCAGATGATCCTCGACAAGGTCATCATCGGCGTGCTGGACCAGGGCGCGGGCTGCCTCATTATCTTTGACGAGACGCAGCGCGACGAGTCGTACGACGCGGCCCTGGCCACCATTGAGAAGCTGAGCAACGTCGTGGACGTGCTGTACACGAACCAGGCGTCCATGCTCGAGTAGACGGCCGGCTGGAGACGTGGGGGACCGGGATAGCGGGTGTCTTTTTGTATTGTATTATGTCACCGGTAGATATGCGGCGTTCAAGAAGGGCTCGCCCGACGAGCTGCGTGGCGTGGCGTGCAAAACAGTTACGCTTGCATCCGCCCATTCGTGAGCCTTGCGTGAGAGCACCCACCTTGTGGTGAGGCACTGCTCGTGATGCGATGCGATGCGATGCAATGTGATGGGTATTGGCTTCAACGATTCATACGAACCAGGGTACAATGGCAAGCAAGGTATCTCCAAACAAGTAGCTACGTTTTGCCCTTATCCAGCCTGGCAGACGGACAGAAAAACGATACGAATGTGGTATCTCGGAAACCAAAAAAGCAACCAAAAAACATCATACTCCCCAAACATTTGTTGGAAACCGCTGATAACAAACGCCTCGCCTCATGATGCGTCTCCCGTTGTGAAACGCTCAGAACCCAGTAAACGAGTGTAACAAGTAAAACCGACACTGCCAAATTCAGGTCCCTACTAGGCCAAGCCGAGCCAAGCCAAGCCGAGGCAGAAAGGCAAGGCAAGGCAAGGCCCAGTAACCAAGAGAAAAGACGAACGCCAATTATCATAAACAAGATTTGTGTGTGTGTGTGTGTGTGTGTCATCTTCGTCGTCAGTGAAACATGACCCTCCCGGCGGGCATCATGGCAGTCGTCCCCTCGGCCGCGGCGGCCCTCTCCCTCTGCTCCTCGCCCAGGATGAGCGCAAACAGGCGCTTGGCCAGGGCGCCCTCGTCCCAGCCGCCGACCTGGGCGCGGAAGGCGTCGACGCAGTCGAGGTGCCAGCGCTCGAGCCGCATCGCCTCGCCCTGGCTCTTGACCGTCTTGCCGAGGTAGCGGTCGGCCCTGCGCGGGTAGGGCGTGCGCAGGGGGCCCTGGCGCCGGCGCTGCAGAATGGCGTCGAGGAGGAGCCAGTGCCCGCGGCTCCAGACGGAGAGCGAGAGGGGGCCGTCATCATCCTCCTCCTGTTGTTGTTGCTGCTGCTGCTGTCGCCGCTGCAGCTGTTGTGCTCGGCCCGCCCGCTTCGGTGTCTGCTTCTGGAGGGCCGGTGGTGGTGGTGGTGGTGGCTGGAAGGCCACCGCGTCGCTCATGAAGAGGTCCTCCGTCCCGTCGCTGGCGCTGTTGGAAGTGCTGTTCTCTTTATCTTCTGTGTCGACGGCCGCCGCAGCAGCCGCCGAGCTGGAGCCGACAGATGGAGCGGCCGCCTCGAAGTCCTCCTGCTGCTGCTGCTCGGACAGGAACGAGTGAGAAATGCGGCGCTCCTGGCGCACCCGGGCCTGCTCCGCCGGCGAGAGGACGCTGCTCGTAAACTCGACGACTCGTCCGGGGGTGCGAGGCTTCAGGGGCGACCGCAGGCTCGATTTAGTCGGCGAGGCGTTCTTGGGAGGCAGGGGCCGGAGCAGGCCATCGCGGTGGCGGGGTGACGACTGCTCGCTGGCGTTGGACGTCTCCTGCTGCCAGCGATGGATGTCTTCGTGGGACAGCTGCATCCTGGGCGGCGTCTCCGTGTTGGTGCGCTGCGACGACGGCTGGAAGAAGGTCTGGCTAGCCTGCCGGGGTCGGGGCGTGAAGTTTTGCTTCTGCGTCACCGTGATGGGTACGGGGATCCTCTCTGGGGTCGCGGGAGACGACGGCTCCTCGTCGGCGGGAGAGTCGGCAACAACGACGGCGGGTGCTGGCCGTGGCGGCGGTGGCCGTGCCTCGACAGCGGGGGCCGGCTGAGAGCGGGCTGGCGAGAACAGGTCCCTGCGCGGACTGCTGCTGGGATGGAACTCCTTCTGTGGTATCTGGGGGAACATGGAGCTCGTCGGCATGGCTGTGGCTTGCTGCGCCGACGCCGGCCGGTCTGGCTTGCCCTTGCTGGTCGTGGCAGTGGCAGCCTTTGCTGGGAGGAACTTTTGCGCCAACATGCCTGGAATGGCAGCGGGAGAGGAGAAGAAGGACGACAGCTCAAAGCGGCTGGCCTGCTTGGACGCCGACTCGAGATGCGCTGCTGCGGCCGCGTCGTCCTTTTGCTGCTTTGACGCCCTCAGCAGCGAATATTCGTCCGCCTCGCTGGGCTGTGCCTGCGGTGCGGCCTGCTCTTTCTCAGGGACGGCAGGAGTGTCCTTGGCCACCAGACGTGCTGCAACGTCCGCAGGCTTCTTCCTCCAGGGGCTCGCCATCCCGCGACGGCGAAGGCTAGCCGCCGTGGTGGTTCTCTTCCCAAACGGCTGCTGCCGAGTCGTCGGCTTGGGTGGCGACTCGCGCAGGGCCTCGAGCTCCCAAATGTCCGTCTCATCGTCTCGCACGCCCGTGCTCAGCTCGTCGGGCTCGTCCACGGCCTCGTCGGGCTGTCCGTGGGACGCGGAGCTCTTAACCGCGCCGATGGTCGACGAGTGGGAGGCGTGCTGCAGCGGAACGTCGCCCCTCAAGCGTGGGCTGATGGGGCCTTCTCGCACGACCCAGCTCATGGCCTCGCTCGCGGGGGATATCCGGATGGAGCTCGCTGCGGACTCCCTTGAGCGAGGCCGCTGTTGTTTCTCCAGCGAAGCATTGCCTCCAGCAGGTGATGCCGCCGAGTCACCGTGCGTCTCATCCGCATGGGTCTCGTCCTCAGGCTCGTCCTCAGGCTCTTGTCCCACGTCAACCTCTCTCGCCGGGCTGCTCGAGGCACCTGCGGGCTCGCTGAAGGCCATTGGCTGAAGAAGGTGATGCTGCGGACTCTTGCTCCTGTGCTGGCTGTTTTGACTGTCCCGTGAGCCGTTCCACGACTCCTTACTGCCGGAGCTCCTGAAAGGGCTGCCCAGCTGCTTCTCACGGCCTTCTGGCGATGGCGGATCTGAGGTGATGCTCTGGAGCATTCGCCCGGCCCTGACAATAGCGGACAGAGCAGGCCGGATTGTCTTGTCCTGCAAGGTCTCTTGCTGCAGCGAGTGCGGCTCTTGCATGGGAGATGAGATTTGATGGACTGGGGTGGCTTCGACTGAGTGCTCCGACGCAGCAGCTGCCCCCTCTGGTGACTGTTCCGGCTCTTCTTGTTCCTCTTCGAGAGGCTCTGGGTGATTGTCAGGGTCAATCTCGGCCAGGCTGAGCGCCGCACCGGTAGACGCCGCATTGCCAATGCGGGATTGCATAGGCGAGGCCAGCTTCGAGGACGCCGTAGACCCTCGGACTGACCGTTCGAGCTCGGGTTGGTCCTCGGCATCCGGCTGTGAGAGGGTGTCGTCTGGTGTCGGCAGACGCCCAGCATCGGACCGTGCAGCTGAACTGCCCACAGATGGAGCAGGCAGCTCTTGCTCGTGCTCCTGTTCCTGCTCAGCCGATTCCATGTCTAGCTCATGCTCATGGTCGTGGTCCTCCACCTCCAACCCATCCTCGTGATCGGCTTCCTGTTCATTCATCTCCATCTCCTGCTCGTGGTCGTAGTCGACTTCAGGACTGCTGCGCATAGTCTCCTCGCGACGAACCTCTGCTTCGTCTGATCGCAACTGCTCCGCTGCCGCCTCTTGGTAGGCTTCCTGCAGCTCGTCTTCCTCCACCTCCGGTGAGTCACCATGGTCTTGTACTTCGTCCATTTCCATTTCATCGTCAGATTCGTGCTGTGCCGTCGCAAGATGCCTCCCTGGCGTAGCCGCCTCAAGGATGTCCTGTGGAATCTCGGAGAACGAATCATCGTACGCGTTTGACGCCTCGGCATCGACACGTGGGGATCTTCCCTTTGCGCGACCCGATCGAGGAGTGCCCGTTGTGGCGACCTTCCGAGGGGATGGAGAACCCTGGGCCTGTTGTGTTGTGGCTCTGAGCACACGGTATCGGAGCGGAGAAGACGCAGGGCCTTTTCGAGGGCTGCTGGACCATCTGGGAGCCGGAGTAGGTCTCGCAAAGCTCCGAAGTCGCGGCAAGGTAGGGGAAGGCTCTTTTGGAGCCAGCTCATCCTCGTCTGCTTCCAACCCCGCGTCTTCTTCTTGCTGAGGCAGATCCATGGCCAAATCATCCTCCTGATCATCATGGCGCGGTTCAGATCCTCGACGGGGAAGCTCGGAATGCGGAGAGTCCAGCTGCGCAGCAGTGGCCTCCTTTTCCGGTTCTGGCGCCGCAACCTGATCGGAGGTTTCCCTTTGCACAACGCTCTGCCGCAAGGTTTCGAGCGTGTTGTTGATGATGAGGCTCGTCTCTTCGCCGAGCTCCTCTTCTTGGGCGGCTGGCGCTCTAGGCGGGATAGAGCTGTTAAAAAACCCTTGTAATGACGGGATCGAATCCATAAAAATCATGCTAAAATCCTCTCCTTGTGCAATGGTATCGTTGGTGGCACCCATGGGTTCGTTGACAGAGGATACGTCGCTCGGCGCGGGGACAAGGTCGAGATAGTCGCCCGCCTGAGAGCTGTTACCCCTGTTTTCACTCTGCTTTCGTACATGCCGTGGTGATTTCGAGGCACGCCGCGGAGTTGGGGAACTTGGTGCTGGTGGTTGTTGTGGCTCCTGCGTCGCCGCTCTTGGTGTCGCATCATCGTCGAGCGCATCCATCCACATATCCGGCCCCGGCTCATCGTCGTCCGACACCGGTTCTGCCATTGGCGCGTAGCTCGCGGCTTCCGACGGCGCGGCCACGAGTTCCATCTCGTTCTCGCTCGGCGCCCCGGCTCCGGTGGACAGTTGCGGTTGGCTCTGATTTGCCGCCGCATCGGCGAGCTCAACCAGTTCCTCGGGCGCGAGCGCATGTCGCCTTCGTTTGCTCTGTCTTGTTGCGCCTGGGGTGGTTTCCGTGCCGGTCTCGCTTGGGGCTTCGGGCGCGGGGTTCTTTCGCGGCCGTCCCCGTTTGCCGGATTTGGGTGTAGGAGCGATGCTGGCCTCGGACATGGCTGGGTCTTCGTCGTCGGTCTGCGCGGTCCGAGGGCGTCGCGGCGTCCTGGACTTGGCAGGGGTGCCAGCTCGCCTCTTGGCCGCGCTGGGCATGGGTGTGCCGTTTGACTTGCGCGGACGGCCCCTTCGCCTCGGCGTCATCGGCGCGTCGCCGAGGACGTCTGCCTCTTCGGTGGTATCGCGCAGAGGCACGGTTGTGGTGGTGACGGCGGGCGTCTTGCGGCGGCGCGTCGCGGAACGGGGGGTCGGCGACTGGAACAGCTTGCGCCGGGGGCCGATGGCGCTGCTGCTGCCGGGCGCGACGACGGCAGACGCGTCGGCGCCGTCCTCGGTCTCGACGGTGACGAGCAGGCGCTGGGGGGATCTCCTGTCGCCGACCTGCAGCTCAAACATTTGCTTGCGCGGGGAGCTGCTCAGGGCGAGGAAGCGCTGGGAGCGCTGGCTGCGCGTGACGCGGCGCGTGGCCGCCGACGAGGGGGGCGCGAAGAAGTCGCCGCCGGGCAGGGTCTGGTCGTTGAGGGGATCCGGCGACGACATGATGTCGGCGCTGGGCGTGGCAGGGTCGACGACGCTGTGCCAGCGCAGGTTGAAGGATTCGGGCTGGGAGCCGGAGTACCGCGGCCGGGGCATTGGTGACGGCGGCGGCGGCGGCGCGTGAGGGTCGTCGACGGCGGAGGGTTATCGATTTCGTCAGACATGGAATGTTGTCGCTCGCTTGCGAGGACCAGTGGTGGACACCAGCGAGCGCGGGGTGGTGGTGGTGGTGGTGGCGGCGCGCGGGATGGGCCAGATAGGGTTGAGCAGCTCAAGCGTGCGTGGCGTCGCTGCAGAGCGCGTGCGACATTCTCACAGTCCTCGCACGGTTCGGGGGTGCGGTGTGGTGGGGAGTTTTTTTGGTGTTTACTTTGCGCCCGACCGGGACTAGTGCCCAGCGTTGTCTGGGACGAGGAGATCCAGTCGTTGCGGGAGCAGGGCTCCACTACCGGGTAGGCAACTCTTGTCCAGAAATGGCGGTCACATGCGAGCCAGCGCGCCCGGCGTCTTCCACCACACACACCCACGCCCACCCGACGCCCATCCGTCCCACTGCCGGGCTTCCGCGGGACAGAACGGTGCGGTCGGCACAGCGCATGACTTCATCTCGGCGCCCGCACTCCTCTCGAGACGCAAAAAGTGGGACGCGACATCCCGCCTGGCGTCCCGCCCAGCCCAGTCGGCTTCTTGGATGCTCATCCCACCAGTGACCACCACCAAAGCCACAAGGGACCTCGGCTCGAGCAAGGGGGAACCACTGCGGAATTCGATTGATCTTCGCCCTCACGTCTGTTAAATATCTTGGGACTCCAACTCGGCTTCGGGTGCACGCGGGTTTGAACTGACGCCCTTTCCTCCCTTTTCCCTTTTCTTTTCCTTCTGAACTGCCTGTCTGTCACTGCGACCTCGAGCCCTCGCGGATAGCCTCACCCCATCGTCACTCCCTCACCCCAACCGCCTCAACCACCACTATCACCATCATCATCATCCTCTGCAGACCGTCATCGCCATGGCAGCCAAGGCCCCCATCCCGCAGAACGACAATGTCGCCCACGCCCTCGCCGGCGCTGGCGGCGGCATCCTCTCCATGGTCCTGACGTGCGTTGGCCCACCGGCCCCGGCTAATCGCCTGACACTCTTGCGCCGGCGCAGACACTGACACCGTCCACCCCAGGTACCCGCTCATCACGCTGTCGACGCGCGCGCAGGTCGAGTCCAAAAAGGCAGAGACCAAGTTCGTCGAGGCCGTCCAGAAGATCATTGCCCGCGAGGGCGTCCCGGGCCTGTACTCCGGCATCAACTCGGCGCTCTTCGGCATCAGCGTCACCAACTTCGTCTACTACTACTGGTACGAGTGGACCCGCGCCAGCTTTGAGCGCGCCCGCGCGAGCAAGAAGCTCTCCACCATCGAGTCCATGATCGCGGGCGCCATCGCCGGCTCGGCGACCGTCATCATCACCAACCCCATCTGGGTCGTCAACACCCGTGTCACGACCCGCAAGCAGGACGCCGAGGTCGACGGCGATGTCGAGGCCGGCGCCGTCAAGCGCTCCAAGGCGCCCTCCACCATCGGCACCCTCATGGCGCTGCTCAAGAACGAGGGCCCCCAGGCCCTCTTCGCGGGTGTCATCCCCGCCTTGGTGCTCGTCATCAACCCCATCCTCCAGTACACCCTCTTCGAGCAGATGAAGAATGCCGTCGAGAAGAGGAGGAAGATGACGCCCACCATCGCCTTCTTCCTCGGCGCCCTCGGCAAGCTCTTCGCCACCAGCGTCACCTACCCCTACATCACGGTCAAGAGCCAGATGCACGTTGCCGCCCACGGCAAGAAGAAGGAGGGCATGTCGCAGACCCTGAACCGCGTCATCAAGGAGGAGGGCTATGCCGGCCTCTACAAGGGTAAGCGAAGCTTCTGAATATTTCCTGTGTACGGGATGCTAACCAGTTGCTTCTCAGGCATCGGCCCCAAGGTCACGCAGAGCGTCCTGACGGCAGCTTTCCTGTTCGCCTTCAAGGACGTCCTGTACGAGCAGACCGTCAGGCTCCGCTCCCGCAAGAGCGCGTAAGCCTCTTGCAAAGAGCAGCTGGCCCCATGCACTCACCGCTACCTTGCAAGCAGGGGCCCACAAACCAGCCAATACCACTAAGCTCCGAGAGCAAAGCCAGTGGATATTTAAAGACGCCGTCTCTATCAAGACGATGCGCTTGTATGATGACATATGCCAGAGGGAGTCAGATACCACGGAGGAGAGAGGCGTAAGAAAAGATTGGGCTCGGGGTTGGATACCACAAGATACATATCGCTACAATAGTCGTTATAGACCAATGTGGACTTTATTATGTACTGTAAAGCCTCCGCGGCACCCATCTTAGGGCGCCACCGGAACAATCTTTGGCACGATCCACCACTCGTGATATGCCTTGCCAGGGGTCGGCACCTCGGCTTTGATGCCCAGGGGGCCACCCTTGGAAGTCTGCCTCGACAGTGCCTTTTGCACGCTAGAAATCGCGATGCCCGCGGCTATGGTCGACCGCAGGGCGCCTTTAACCGACGCAGCCCACCGGGTGTGCGAGCCTACCGAGAAAGATTCCTTGGCCGACAGTTTGCTCAGCGCCTCGTAGCCCCGTTTGGCACCCGCCACGGCCCTCTCTGCGTACTCCAGCAGCTCCTGCGACGTAGACTCTGACTGCGTCACGCCCGCAGTGAACTCGTGAAAGTTGGGTAGTGCGGGGAAGCCGACGGCCACAAAGGGCTTCATGCGCAGGTCGTACCGCAGGTCGTCGTTGCTATACGGCCTGGGGGGCGGCTTGACCAAGTCGAGGCGGCCCAAGACCGTGTACAGGCAGCACAGCGCGTCGGACAGCTCCCACGTCACGGCGGCGTCAAGCAGAGACAGCCGCGTGTGGGCGAGTGATTTCTGCAGCTGTTCGTCGGCCATAGGGTCGGGTCTCTGCGGCTGAGATCGTGCCTCCTCGGCCTTGTGAACGATGAACCCTTTGATGCGCTCCGAGTGCTGCAGACGGGATTTGGACAAGTAGTTGAGGTACCAGTACATCCCGCCGAGCTCATCCGGCTGATAGACCTCCAGCTCGAAGCCCAGCTGCACGATCCATTCCATCTGCCGCAGCTTGTAGAGGTAGGTCCAGGATGATAATGACAGCGCATACGACTCGACGGGCGGGGCGCTCATCGACGGCTGATGCACCATGGGCTTCTCCTTTGTCTTGACTTGCAATATCTGGTCAATCTCCTCGGCTTCGACCTGGAGACTCTCCCACTCCCGGATAGTGTGGCATAGCGTCCGTCGTACCCGGCTCCTGTTCTGGCAGGCGGTCCTGAGAATGTCCAGAAACGGCTGGGCTGCCCGTTGTCTGAAGAATTCCATTTGCTGCGACATGGCGAACCGCGGATCTTGTACAGCCTCGATCTCGTCGTTGACGCGGTCCAGGAGTACGCTTGCGGGCAGGGAAATGATTGAGAAGTCGTCGTCGAGGAGTTGGCGGATGCTCATGGATCCCAGGATTTCCATGGCGTTGAATAGGAAGGTCTGCAGCAGTGTTCTCACATAGACCAAAGGCTGAGGTTTCTTGGCTTGGAATGTAAGGACAAAGGTCTGCCAACTGTCAGTCGTACTAAGCGATACAAACACGGCCAGTGAGATAACTTACCAAGAGACATTGGGAGTCGACGTAGTCGAGAATACTAATGACTTCCAATCCATCTGCAAAGAGACGGCTCAAGTGGCCGAATGCGTCGTCGAATCCTAGCTCGACTATCGGCCGCGGAGGCATGGTGCTCGCGAGCTTCCGCTGCAGCTTTGCACTGAAGGCCTCGTCGACCGGCTTGGCCAGGGCGTGGGTCGCGCTTATCTTAGGCAACACAGCTTGGGCCTCTTCCCAGGGCTGCCGTGCCTTTGGTGCGTCCTTAACATGCTGGGGGCACTCGGCTGCGTCCAAAAAGATCCGCCGCAGCTCTAGACGACTTGTGAGAGCGTCAGCCAGCTCCTCTCCGATTGAGGCACGCTGTGAAGTGAGGAGGCCCTTTGCTTCAGCCAATGACTGTTGGACATCACTTGTGGGTATGTTGGTGAGTAGTGTGCGATGGTACGTGTTTGTGACGAAATCCTCTTCCTGGATCCATAGTCAGCGTCGGTTGGTCGTTCAAAGAGTTCCGGTCAGCATGCCTCGTAGAAGTGCTCCGACTTGATGCGTTCATTGACATAGCCACATGCTTTGAGCATGCCAAGACAATACGCTCGCAGGACTTGGAGCATCGGCTGTCGGTTGGCGTCGAGCTTCCCATGGCGAACAAAGTAGGCCTGGTCTATCGAGGAAGGGACGGGCATCAGGAGGGCCTCGACGTAGACGCTGGTAAGGATTGTCTGTGCCAGAGGGTACCCTAGGTGCCAGGACATCTGAACAAGTGTGAGACGAGCGACGATGCAAGCTTCGAGAGAGAGCCAACCTCATGGCAAAGCAGCTGGTCCATGACACCGAGGACCTCCTGAGGATCCAGCGCACGTGATACGTCGAACAGCTCCTCAAACTCATCCCCAGGCTTGACGCAACCGCTGTCCATCTTTGGGTCCATGATCTGCTTTTGGTCAGACGGGCACGTCCATATGCTGATGGCCAGCGGGTTAAAACAAACCTCAAGGGCCGAGACAGACTCGAAGAGCGTGAAGAAGCCATCTTTAACCAGCTCACCCGGCGCCAGGGCTGCGAGGGATACATTTCAGCAACGTTCACGCGCGAGGGATTCTTCGTCTCTTACTCTTCGCAGCCTGGGCAAACTTTTGCGTTATGTCGACGGCGACTATGCCGGGGCTCGTGATGTTGGGCGGCGGCGACGGCTCTGGCTCGGCAACATCCTGGCCGAGCGAGAGCCTCGCGATCTCTGTTGCGGCGTGTCAGACCAGACCAGACCCGACCTGGGGGAAATTTTGGCGGCGGCGGCGGGAGCAGCCGGGACCCGCGAACGCACCGTCCGTTGCACCTATGCCATAGTCGGCCATTTCGAGGGACGTGCTGCTATAATAGGCCCCCCATGGGTGGCTGCGTTTGCTGCTGCTCCTGCGGCTGCGGCTGCTGTGGTGAGACGGAAAGCGATGGGGGGGGAGCTTGGCTGGCGGGTTGGAGTTGGTGAGTGACTGAGTGTGAGTGAGTGACAAAGCGCGGGCGCTGGAATGACTGTGTCACAGAGGGGCCTCCTCCGCCTAAGACCACGGCAAAGCAAAAGTCAACGCCGGCAGCTGCGTCACCGACGACATCGGTCCCATGAATTTCATTTTCGAAATCAATTCTACTAGTACCAATACTTGGTGGTTTCACGCAAAATGCACCCGAATACTATTCACTGGCCTGCAGTCGAGCATCACGTCGAGGCACGACACGTTAGGTCGTAAGCCCGCCAAGCTTGAACAACCGCACACCAGTCACCGTCACCAAGACAATTTCAAGGGGTCGTCTGCCTCCTGGTAGATTGTTGTTCACTGCAGCAATCGTTATGTTACAAGGGTAGAGGCGCCACGGGACCGAGCTACCCAGCCTCGCCGTGCTTGTCTATCGCTTCGAATGCATCCGCCGCCGTCCTTCGACTTCAACACGTCGCACGCCCCCAATATCCTCCGCTCAGTTTCTCATGGATCGATTCGATTAGGAGGAGGCGCTCTCGGCCATGGCGGCAGTGTTGGCGCTGGCGAGGTCCTTGATCTCGCCCTGCTTGCCACCCTGCGTGCGGTAATTTAGGCGTTAGCTGCGAGCCCACGCGACCCGTCCCGTCCCCTCGGCGTGCGTCGGCGACGTACCTGCCACTTAGCGAAGCGCAGCTCCATCTCGCCACGGCGCTCGGCGGCGATTCTCTTGTCCTCCTTGAGGCTGCGGCGGACAGCGCGGGCCGCGATGGCCAGGTAGCGGTTGTAACTGTTTCGGCGAGGCCTCGTTAGCTTCTTGCAACACCCCGTCTTTCGCTCGTCGGCTCGCGGCGCGTGGGGAGGGGTAAAATCGCGGTCGGCGCTCGGGGGGTGTCAATTGACGTACGTCAAGCCGGCGGCTTTCCACGCAGCAGTCATCTTGGCGGAATTGAGAGGTTGCGTTCGGGGTTGAGGATTGGGGGTGGTGATGTTGCCGACGGAGCGCTCGCCAGAATTCATCGCGGCCCGGGTCAAGCCGGTGGGGCCTGAGGCATTCAGATCTGGCCGTGGCGGCACGTGACTTGACAAAGCGCTGTCTCAGCACGGCTTCTCCACTGTTGGCTGCCAGCCTGACTCTCAGCCCAGCTGAACCCTGGCAAGCTGTAGTATGGCGATGCCCAGATGGGATTAATTCGACGCCATGCTGCACATTGGCTTTCTGGCCAGCGGCCGATATGGAGCAGCCGTTAGCTGCAGGGACAAAAGCTTAACATGACCGAGGGCAGCAGGGGAAGGGTCTTTTCTTCTTATTCTTCGACGTGTTCCATACGCTCTTTTGCGGCTCGGTGCCTTGCACAGCCCTCTGGCAGAGGCTTCGTCGATCTTGGCTCCTGTGTCTGGATTCCTCATGCTGGCACCAGCCTTGAGCAAGCTCTTTCAACTTGAAGTTTTGAACGCTCTGTTGAGACGTAGACTCGTCCACGGCCCGCAATGTCGACGACACCAACGGGGAGGCGTCGCCGCCCGCAGGAGTTTACCCTCCCAGACGGCAAGAAGGTCATAGTCTCGCTGCCCGAGGACATTGACGCCCTGCGACGAAAGTACAGCAACAACCAAGAGCTCCAGACCGAGGTGGTGATCCAGGGGTCTACAGAGCACGCCAACTACCTCCAACAGTCGCGGGAGCATCATGAGCGCCGCAAGGAAGCGCTGCGGAGCCGCCACGGGCCCGCCTTTGACGAGTGGGAAGACGTCAACGACCAGCTCAACTCCGTCACGGCCGAGCTGGAGCGCCTTTCCAACCAGCAATCCGGACTGGGCAGCAACTTTGGCAAGTTTGGCTTCGACGCGGCGATGCGCGCCTACGACAGCGAGCACGGCGGCGACGGTCCGGGCTCCTCGAGCGCCTCCGTCTTCTCGGAGGAGGCGCGTCCCGCCGAGACCACCAAGCTCTTCAAGAAGCCCGTCGTCAAGCAATGGTTCCATCGCGGGCTGCTGTGGCGGGCTTCAGAGCAGACCGAGGTCATGGCCATTGAGCTCTTCTTTGATCTTCTTTACGGTGAGATGAGACAGCCAGACCTGCTTTTTGTGATTTCTCTTCTGACTTGACTTAACTCGATGCAGTTGGAATTATCCACACCAACGGCGAGCACATGACGGAGGAGCCCAACGGCTACGAGCTGCTCCGCTTCTCCGTCACCTTCATCATGTCGTGGAAGGTGTGGACAGACATCACACTGACCCTGAGCTGGTTCGAGTCAGACGACGTCTTTACCAGGCTGGAAATCCTCTTCATGATTGCCTGTTTGCTTGCGTACGTGACCTCATCCCTGAGACGGTGACGGCGGACCAAACGCTAAATCGAGCAGATTCACGACCAACATGATAAACAGCTTCAGCGAGGACCCAAGTACGAATACTTACGTGCAGCTTGTAGCCTATTATCTGGCGGCGCGCATCTTCGCCGCCCTCCATTTCGCAATCACCGCCTTCACCCTCCCCATGGTCAAGGGCGTCATGATCTGCAACGTCTTCAACATACTCGTCCCGGCCGCGCTCTGGATCGCCAGCATTCACGTGGAGATGCCCGCGCGGCTGGGGCTCATCTGGACGGCCATTGCCCTCGACCTGTTCGGCTCGGGCATCTTCACCTCGCTGTTCCGATGGGCGCGGTCCCACGGCCAGGACTCGAGGCTGGGCGCCCGGCTGAACCGCTTCTTCGAGTTCTACCCGGCCATGAACATTGAGCACAGGGTGGAGCGGATGAACGCGTTTGTGTCTCTGGTGCTAGGATACTCGGTGGTCAGCATCTTGTTCCAGAGCGGCGGCGGGTACAGCATCAATGCGTTCCTGGGGAAGGCTGTGATGGGACTGGTCCAGGCCTTCATCTTCAACTGGATCTACTTTGACGTCGATGGGAAGAACCTCAATTTGCATGCAATCCGTCGGTCCGCCAATACTGGTAAGTCATACTTTCACAAGAAAACAAACATCTACATACAATGTGTTTGGGCTGACACTTCGGCAGCTATTCTTTGGCAGTTTGCCCACCTGCCCTTCATCATGGGCTACATCGTAGCCACCTCGGCCCTCACGACGCTGGTCCTGGCTTCAGACGTGGCGGACGCCAACCCCGCGGAGCTCGCGGAGCCCTACTCGGCGCATTCGGAGGACCACTTCGGCAACGCCGTCCGCTTCTTCTACTGCCAGGGCCTCGCCATCGCGCTGCTCTCCATGACGGCCATCTCCCTGAGCCACGACCACCGCGCCCCGGCCACCCTCCGCTGGGCGAAGCGGTACAGGCTGGCGAACCGCGTCGCCGTCTGCATCATCATGTTTCTGCTGCCGCTGGCGCACTCGCTCGACTCGCTCGAGCTCATCGGCACGACCCTGGGGCTGTCGGCCTGGGTCCTCATCGTGGAGCTCTTTGGCGACTCGTGCACGGACGATCCGTTTATCGGCGAGAAGGAGGGCTGCCACGTGCGGTACCTGGCGAGATGCAGCAAGAAGGATATGGAAAAGGCGGCGCTGGCAGAGGCCGATGCCCCCGGAGTTCGGAACGCGGACGTTTTTGAGCTCGATAGGCACGACAAGACGGCGGTCTAAAAGGTGTAGGTTCATGGCAACTAGACGAAGACATTGGTGGCGTATTTGGTATTATTCAAAAAGTGAGAGACAAAAGAGATCCCGTCTATGTGTCCCCCGAGGTTGACAACTTGCTAACAAAAAACAAAAGAGGTATCTGCATTCAATCATCCGTCCGTCCGTCAGTCCAATCTTGGAATATTCCAGGGCCACGGCCTCCTCCCACGTTTACGAGCCGCCAGATGCAGCGCCCATGATGACAATCATCTGGTGCATCCTCCGGCGGTCCACCTCCTTCTTGAGCATGGTGATGCAGCTCGCAACGACAAACACCTCCATCTGGTGCGCCGCGCCCTTGGTGTCCGACCACCCGCGCAGGTCCATGGTCAAGCGCCCGCCGTTGCCGGCCGTGCTCCCGCGCGTGCCCCCCGTGCGCAGCTCCTCGTTGCGCACCAGCTGCGCGACGCGCCGCCGCCGCTCCTCCGTCTTGTTGCCCCCCGCGAGCGCCACCGTCGTGACGAGGTCCAGCACCAGCAGGCTGTTGGCGCCCGCGGCCTTGCGCTCCGCGCGGCTCGCGTACCGCCACTGGAAGGTGCCGAGGTGCGTGCGCATGTCCTGCGCGCGCGTGTGGCACCCCCGGTTGTGCACCTCGTAGACCTCGTCGCACGCCACGTCGCCGAGCAGCTCGATGCGCGGCGGGCGGTTGGGCCCGAAGCGGTACGTCGTGCTGCACAGGATGCGCTCGTCGGTGGGCTCGTCGCCGGCGCGCACCAGCACGCAGCTGCCGGACCCGCGCGTCGTCCGCAGCGACTCGTACGCCAGCGGGCCGACGGCGCCGTCGGGCAGCACGCTGTAGACGGGGATGGGCACCGGCTTGGTCGGGAAGGGCAGCGCGATGAGCGGCAGGCCCTGCGTGTCGATCTGGAAGGCGGCGGTGGCGGCGCCGAGGCCCGTGGCCCCGGGAGTAGCCGCCGCGGATGATGATGACGATGATGGTGTGTCGTTGCTGGCGACGGACTCGTACGCGGGGAGGGAGTCGACCGACGTGGTCGCCGAGGGCGCGTAGCCGCGCAGCTCGACGTACTCGCCGTCGGTGGCGTCCTGATACTCGGGCGGGAGGGAGGAGCGCCGGCGGCGGAGGAGAGAAGCCTTGCTCTCGGCAGTGTGAACCTCGACGCTCGTCATTGCTGCGGCGGGGTTTGTCGCTGGCGTTGACTTGTAGTAGAAGTGATCCGCGTGGATTGCGTAAATGCGAAAGGCGCGCTCTTGGCGTATGAGTGTATCTTTATATGTGATGTGCTCGGGTCTCGAGTTGAGGTTGATGTCGTGTAAGTCGGGGGCCCTAGGACGAGACCACTTCCTGTGGGATCAGGTTGATGATGAAATGTGAAAGATGTCGGGTGCTGGTATGCCAAAGCTGCTTCTTGTATCGCAAGAAAAGCCCTTTCAGATATCTCCCCCAAGTCAACGTCCCGTCCGTCCATCTATATACCCAAATCTCCCCCGGCGACACTCTCGTCTGCATCGCATTCCCGCCGATCGTCACCAGCTCCCGCCTGCCTGTAAGTTCCAGTGGTGCTCACTGGCTCACAGCCAGTCATCAGCGGTGGTGGTGGCTGCGCCAGCGCCCCCCGCGCCCCCATCTCCCCCGGGCCCGGACCCGCAATTCCCCAACGCGAAATACGGCGCCCCCTTCGCAATCGTCGTTTACCCGTTAAGCTCCCTGTACCGCCACCGCCGGCAGCCGCCCCCATTGGCCCGCCGCCGAAAATACGACGGATGCGAAGGCGACCGCGCCGGGCGGCGGCCCAGGTGCATCGCGAGGCAAAAACCTTCTAGAAGGTGGCTGTGCAACCTGACCTTTGGCAGGCGCCCAGCCAGGCACAAAGGCTGTAGCCATGCAAGCCATGTTCCCAAGACCCGTGTCATCGGCCGTGACGATGGGTTTCAACGCCCTGACAGGGATAGGAACACCGTGACAGTGCATGCTTTTGTCCACGGCCCGTCCGTGCGGGCCCGGAGCGGCACTCCCGTCCTGCAGGATGCCCACCCAAGTCCACCGCCGTATTCGTCGGCTCGACGCACGACGTCACATGGGCACACGCAGGCTTGCGGAATCGCGGCACTGATATTGAGCACAGCCCGTCCCAGGGCGTGCCTGCCTGACCAAGACACTCAGTCCACCAACATTGCCCTCTGCCAACGCCTGACCACGGCCGCCTTCCGAAGACGACCGCGAGCCCGTATCATACACAGCCAGGTCGATCCATCGCCCACACTCCTCACAACCTCTTTCCGAAGAACGTCATATCCCGGTCCAGCTGCTCATCGACCCACATCGGCCACTGGTTATACAGCTGGTGCTCGAAGTCGACCCGCGCGTTGAGGTACTTGAGCCATCTCACGAACCCTGGATCCATATCGTTGTCCTGCTTGATAGGCTTCTTCTCTCGCAGGTCATACTCCCGCTCTGTGATGAACGCCATGATCTGCGCCAGTGCGATCCAGTGCGTGTGCAGCAACACAATCGTCTGCCGGTTGAAGTTGATGAGCTCCTGGAACGAACCATGCGGCAGCATCATCCACCACGCATATTCTCTCGAGTTGGCCTTGTACGCTGTTTCGACTCCAAGTCAGTCTCCAGATTCCAGACGACGCCGTATAAGTCAGGGGGACGCACCGTCAAACGAGTTTGTATACAACTTCTCCGCAATCCCAATCAACTGCTCATAGTACTCCACCTCAATGGGGTCGAGACAGAGCGGCCGCAGATTCGAAATGGCTTCCACCGCGCCGTCCACCCATCCCCTCTCGATCAGCGGCATGTCCTGCATCAGCGGCGCCATCAGCTCGTTTTGCTTGTCGTCGAACAGCGTCGTGAATACGGGTTTTATGCCCTTGAACATCATTTGCATGCCCACGATCAGGATACCGCGGATGAACGTCATGTACTCCGCCAGCCCGTCATCCAGGCTCACAGACTGGAATGTCAGGGCGAAGCACGTCGCCACGAGCGCGTTGGCTTCCTCGTACGTCGTGTCGGTCCTCGAAGACTCGGTGAGACGCTTCTTGATAGCTTTGATGGCCTTGATTCGGTGGTTCATCGCCGCCGTCACGAGGCTGCTATCCGTGGATGTGAGTGACGACGCTGCAAATCCTAGAATCGCATGCATCAAAAATTCATGCTGTTGAACCGAGTCAGCAGCCTTGTCCTAGGCAATCCAAGGTGATTTGCCACATACGTTGTGGGCTATGCAGGGGATCTCGTGCGTCCAGATCTCCTCCTGCTTTAGTGGGTGGTGGGGGTAGCACTGCGTTAGGAAGTGTTGGAAGAAGCGCATGTCTTGCAAGCTGAAGAGGGGAATTTGATTGTGAGGCTATTTCCAACGTCAATGTCGGTCACAGACTTTACACGGGAAGTGGACGCGCATGTCCTACCTGATGTGTGATTTGGGGCATGGAGGGGTATTCGCACTTGAGCCCGGTCTTGACGCAGTGACCGCAGGCCGGACGAGTCTCTTGACACTACTCGATGCTCAGCAAGGCCACTCACTTCTGTGCAGAACAAGCCTTGGCGTTTCGCATACCTTGATGCGCCGCCTCTTGCAGTTGTAGCACCCGCGGCGGCTCTTGGTGTGGCCTCGCCTCTCCAGTCTCTGCTTCTGCGTCGGCTGCCGACGTGCGACAGCGTCCGTGGCACCGCTCGCCGTGCTTCTGTTGTCGGAGCCGGAGCTGGGCGGCGTCAGCTTGCCCGACGACTCGGACAAGTGCCCGCCGGAATGGCCACCGTGCGACGGGTCATGAAAGGGAATGTCCTCGCCCTGGAGGAACGACGAATAGTCGAACTCGGGCGGTTCCGGGTACGACAAGAGACCCGGCGAAAACTGCTGCAAATCCATGGCTGCGATGTCACTGAGTATGCGAGCGGTGAGCGTTCTGAGCTGGCGGAGTCGCTGTGCGCGCCCGTCGGGGTTCGATCGCGAAATGCGAGGCAGAGGAGAGTCGATGGACTCATTCACGGTCGAAACCAGAAACGGACCCGGCAAGAGGCCATGGCCCGTCACGTGTAGCCAATCAATCCAGCCCTGCGAGCGAGTCTAAATGGGAGACGACGACAGCCGGAAGCCCCCTGGTCGGAGAGTTGATGCCAGAACCGTAAGAGTGGCAGTGAACCGGGCCATCAATACCCCGGCTACCATGGCATCATGCCCTCTTGCGCGGCGGCCATGAGGGGCTGCGGCGGTTCAGCCCAGTGGGCCACGCAACGCGCCACTTCTGCTGCCAGCCCGCGGCGAGCCTAGTTCGTTGCGCTGTCGCCTGCCGGAAGGAGGGTGGGAGGTCCCTGGAACGCGGCTTGGGGCTGCGCTGTGGTTGACGACGCCCGGCCGGTAAGGGCTGTGGGGGCTTCTTCGGTGGGTTCGGTCGGTGGGTTCGATCGCCCGTCTGATGGCGGTGGGCGAGGGTTCGAGCCTTTGAGGATGCCTTCTGTTCTGCCAGGTGGCGTGCCGGTCCAGAGAGAGACGTTGTGCCGCCAAGTGACAGCTCAGCCCAGTCCTTGCCATCCTTGCCATCCTTGTGACAACATGTCCTGCTCGTCTCGCGGCATATTTCAGCCCTGTTGGAAAGCCGGCCGGCTCTCGCTGACTCCAGACCCGTGCAGACTGCAGAGAATCGCAGGGCGCGGGACAAGGTTGCGGCTAGCGTCGAGCGGCGTCGATCACTCTTCTGTCCAGAAACCAAGTGCTGATGTTCAGATCCCATCGGTCATTGGCTTTGATAGACGAAGCAGGTCTTGGCGGACAGCGATACAGTCACACGCAACGAACTTTTGGATCGCGGAGTGGTGGCAGCTATGGTCAGTGACCACGCAACACGAAGGGGCAAGCAGATGATGGCGCTCTCGATTCATGGCAGCCTGGTGGCCTGGCAGGTACCGGCGCACATTGTGTCTCCAATCGGCAAGACCAAGGCACCATCACGTTGCGCCTTCTCCAGCTGCCAGTAAGCAGACAGCAGGCACCGCCGAGGAACACCGCGCTAGCACAAAACGAGCATCAACGTTGCATTACGCGAAGCTGTGCCAACTCCAACGGCTCGACCAGGTTTGGACTACCCTGCACGACCGCGAATGAATATTAGCAGGAAGAATAGCATGCTTCGGCCTCAAATCGGTGAGGCTCCTCGTTTACCAATTGCGGTAAGGCGAGGGCGTCTGCACACGCGTTCAAGAGTTCACAGCCGGGAGCACCACTCATTCACACGGTATTATGCTGCTTCTACTCGTAACTTGACTTGACATGCTTTGTTCTTCATCTTAACGTCAGTCCAATACCCTTCGCTCTGCGGCGTGCATATCTGCAACGTCTCAAGCCTTTCTATATGGGTAAGTAGCACATCCGCATCGCACTTTTGGTCGTCGCCAACCCGTCCCATCCATCGTCTATCGAGTTTCGGGGTCCATCGCCAGGTTGTGGAGCCTGATAGGTGACGTGTTAGCAGACTGTTTGACAGCATGATCCATGGGAATGTATCTCACCCAACATCTTCACGGTGCTCGGGGCTGCGAGGCTCCATCCTGACAGTAACGGGTGTCGTCCTGCCGCCGTTTCCATTAACAACGGGCGAACCGTCGGCGGCCGTTCCGACCGGCCCGCTGTTGCCAGCGGTGGCTGGTTGATGCGCCCCCTCGACGGCGACAGTCTTGGACTTTTTGCCCCGCATCTGGTTCAGGTGGTCGAAATAGCCATCCGGAACTGGGGTCTTGTACTTGCCGCAGAAGACACCCACTTCAAAGTCCTTGATCTGGTTTTGCGGGGACGCTTCCGTGCACGCGGCTTTCAGGTCTTGCAGATCCTGATAGATGACGTCGTCTGCCTTGATGTGCCTCGCAATATCATGCCTTGTCTTCTCATGCGCGATGAGCTCCTGTGGGCTGGCCAGGTCGATACCGTGCTGGTCCGTGTCAGCTTCTGTGTCTTGTTTATACAGTTCAGGAAACGCTTACAATGTGGGGATGCGTGATGGGCGGAGCGCAGCTGGCGAAGATGACTTTTCGCGCACCAGCTTCCCGCGCCATGCTGACAATCTCCCTGCTGGTCGTGCCGCGGACGATGGAGTCGTCAACCAGACAAACCACGCGGCCCTGAAACTCAGAGTCCATGGCACTCAATTTCCTGCGCACACCCTTCTCGCGAGCCTTTTGTCCAGGCAGAATGAACGTCCGATACACGTATCTGTTCTTGACAAATCCGTTGGAAAACGGCTTGCCAAGCTGCTCCGAGACAATCGCCGCGGCCGTGTTGCTCGTCTCAGGGACGGGAATGATCACGTCGATGTCGTTGATGCCATCCTCTCCAAGCGTGTCCTTGAGCTTTTGGGCCAGCTTGACGCCCATGTTCTGTCGGCTCTGGTGGATCGAGATGCCATCCATGACCGTGTCGGGCCTGGCAAAGTAGACGTACTCGAAGATGTCCGGCGAGTAGGCCAGCCTCTCGGCAACCTGGTGGAATTGCGGCTTGCCACCCTTCTGGATGAAGACCGCCTCACCGGGGAGAATGTCGCGCATGTTCTTGAAGCCCAGCTGGCGAAGCGCAATGCTCTCGGATGCCAACATGTAGTCGGTGCCGCCCTCGACGGTGGTGGAGGGCCGGCTGCCCATGATGAGCGGTCGGATGCCATAAGAATCCCGGAAGGCAAAGATGCCAAAGCCGGCGATCATGGCCGTCACGGCCCATGCGCCCTCGCACTTCTCATACGTACGCGACAGAGCCTTGAAGATGTCGTCAACATTCACTCGCGCCTTGCCGGTGTCGTTGAGGGCGTTGGCGAAAACGTTGAGCATCAGCTCGCTGTCGGAGTCGGTGTTGACATGGCGGTGAGCCTCCTGGTCGAGGAAGCGGCGCAACTCTGGGGCGTTTGTGATGTTGCCGTTATGGGAGAAGCTAACCTGATCAGTGCCTGCCGGGCCGGATTATTCGACGAAGGAAACGTACCAGATGCCGTAAGGCGAGTTGACGTAGAATGGCTGAGACTCGGCGCTCTTTGTGGCAGTCAGTAGCTGTTGGATATAACGCGGGATGCAGCACAGTGTCACCGGTGCTCCCAACCTCTGGAGGCAACATACCGAGCTGGTTCCCGCGGTAGGGTAGCGGAGGTGGGCGATGCCCATGTATCCGGGCAGATCGGCACAACGCTTGCCATCAGCAAAGACCTGGTGCTGTTAGTGACATATCCTGAGAAGCCATAGGCGCAACGTGCCTTGGCTACCATGCCATTGCCCTTGCACTGGTATATCCTGCCACCAGACCCGCAGGTCGTGATGCCGCAAGCATCCTGACCTCGGTGCTGGAGGTAGTAGAGGCTCTCGTGCAGGTCAACGGCCGCCTCGACGCCGGGCGAGTCGGTGTCGGCAAGGATGAGACCGACGATGCCGCACATTTTTTGGTTCGGTCGGGAACGCTCGGGATGATGCTGTCGACGGCTTCGGACGATGCGACGGGGAGGAGATCTGCTCTGTCACGGAAGAAAGCGCTAAGCGACGAGTTTGACGTGCAGTGATGCTGGCTGGTGGCGCAAAATGTTGAACTCGACGGGGCGGATGCTCGATGGCGGCGCCGAAGTCGCTGGTGGTCGATGGCGATGGCCCTGGGGTGAAACCCGGTGGCTACAGAGGGACTGAACGGGATGAAAGCCGAGAGAGAGAGACGAAGGCCTTGGAAAGACCACGATCAGGTCGTCGCGATTGCTTGAGCGCGGATGCGTTGAACGGAGAAGGGAGATTACGGCTCGAGGAGCGGGACCTGGAGCCTGGTGGAATTGTCCATGCTTGGGCTGGGGCCCGAACATTCTGGCGGCGACAAATTTTTGGCACTTTCCACGTTGGAGGGGTTCTCTCTGCGCGCACTGCAGGAGCCGCCGCCGCCGACGCGGGGCCAAACGCTAACCCGCTCGCTAACCCCCAATGGCGGGCCCAAGGGGAAAGTGAATCTTATCGGGACGCCTTGCGAGCTTATCCATTGGCCAGGCCGGGGCGTCGGGACCCGGAACCCCTTGCCGCTGGAAACCGCGTGCGTGTGTGCCTTCCCGCCGGGGCCGCGACGCGTGAGCCGGGCCCGGATGGCTTGCATCGAGGGCAGGAGAGGCGTCGATGCAACCTGCCAAAGACCCGAGGTGACGCTGCATCTGCCAAAAACAAGCCACTCCGTCGCTGTGTCACCAAAGACCATTTGGCGGGGTCCGTCACCTTTTTTGTTCTCTTACACGGGCATCTCGTTCCGTGGTGTGACGCTGTGACCGACCTCTTAACTTTGACTACTTCATGAATCGCATTGATGACACCAATCCACTACAGAGTTCGCCACGCCTTACTATGGGAAGCGGTCTTTGCAGAGACAGAGAGAGGCCTTTTGCGCCGCCTACGACGATGGATTCTTTGCCCTGCATGATGCATTGAGCAACTCGAAACCCTGCCCGTCGTCGTTTCGAAGCTCACACCTATTTCCCCATCACCCACAACTGAATATAATTGATGAGACTAAAGCCATCAGGCAGACGGAAGACGTCTTTTCTATCTGATGAGCTGGTTCGCATAGCATTTTGCACCTGCGGCGCCGGGTACATGTGTTGCCTCAAACACAGTCGCCGATGAGTCGATAAATATGACCATGCTCACATCAGGACGGCACCTTCAACACGAGACACCTACGCATCGGCGTGCTGGGGGTAGCATCGTGTCACCTGCGCCCCAAGGCACACTGCAACCTTGTCACACCGCCGCCGAGAACCGTCGCCGCACAAGCCTCCCACTACGGCGCGGCATGAGGTCACACGGCGCGGGGTCACCTTGGACTCCAGATCCAGGTTGATCGCCCAGCCCCGACGTTCCAAAATGCTGTTCAGACTTCGGAGCCTCTGCGGTCGGGGCGGCCACAACACTTGGCAAACAGACACGGCAACAGTCTCGGCTGTAGGCGATGCGCTTTGCTCGGCAGGCAGACCCCACCTCGAGCCGCCCGGTTTAGTTGACCACAATTGGGCTTTCGCGATTTGAAGGCATCGCGAGCGTCCCGTGCAGTGGTCGAATAATTGTCGAAACAGTCTCTAGCACTGGCCAAGTCCTCGCTCTTCAACAGCCTCGACAAGGGTGTTGCTTAGCCAGGGAGAGATCAGAACGCTGCAATCGAAATTGCGCTCATAGTGACGACAGAAATCGTCAATGCCACACGAACAGCACTTCGACAGGATCGCCTTCTGTCAATGCCCTGCTTGGCAACGATTTCGCTCCCTCCTGAGTCCCTGAGCTCTGCCAAGAGCCAAGCTAAGACGAGAGACAGACGTCTTCCGGCCGAAGGCTGTCCTCGAAACGGTGAAGACATGGGCAACCGTGTTGGTCCTGGGAAGCTCTCGTCACCTCGAATGTAAGCGATTGGTCCCGCGCTGGAAAAAAAGTAGGCACTGTTGGCTTCCCCTTGAAAAGCTGGCCGTCCTTAATAAGTTGATACAGAAGATGTGACACGCTGGTGCCAAAACTTTGCAATTTGCTCCTCCTCAAGCGCCACGCGTTCATCGCGCCAGAGACTCCCGAGGAGGCAAAGGGCTCTGCGCGGCCTGGATGAACAGGCAACGTACGGTATTGCACTACACTCGTACTGTTCTGTGCGACGAGGAGCCCAAGTGCCTGACGCGGCCGCGTCTCGTCTTGCTTGGAGATGTGACATGTCGCATGCGATAGAGATGCTGTGACGGGTTGGCCGAGGCCACGGCCGGGTCGACGATTCGCTTATCCATGAGCAGCTCGGACGAAGGCCGGGCTTCGATCGCGACACGGAACGGGAAGAAACCGTGCCCCTTGAAGATGGTGGTTTTGCCGAAAGAGATCCGATGCTGGCCCTGACGCCGTCAAAACTTACTTACAGGAAGGGTAGGAGCCGTATCCGTCGGGGTTCGGCGGCCAGTTGACCAATGGAGCGGCCCGAAGCGCATACGTCGGTTCTCGGATCGCACGGGCGCGCGGCTCCTTGGACCATTTGTTTTATGACAAGTGCCATCTGAACGGGGCTGTTTGCTTGTGGAGGCCGCATGGCAAGGCAGGGAAATCATCATGGAGGGACAGAACCAACGGCGGCTGGCGGCCATAGGTCGCTTTCCGTGGCGGTGGGTGCATCACCTCTCCGCACGTGGCCGCCCGAAGGATCGACACACCAGCCTGTAGAGCAGACCCGGCGACTCGAGCGAGCGTGATGCTGGGCGCAAAGGCTGCGCTGCATACGAAGCAGCATTGGCGAGGCGGATGCGACTGCAGCGCGTCGGCAGTTGCGGACTCGGTCTCCGGTGCTGCGCTGCGCTGCGCTGCAACACAGAAGTTGCCGAGCTGGGGTGTCGATGCCTCAGGTAAAAGTACGGAGCTTCCAGGTTGTCACTCTCCTGGCAGCGATGGATGCATCACGGATGGCATGAGGTGCCACACGCGAAAGGGGGCGCGGACCAACCAGAGGCTTGTGCCTGGCAGCAGTGGCGGTGCCAACGTCCAACGCTGGTCCCTTGATGTGATCTCCTGCCGGGGGGGTCGACTGGTTTCTACATAATAGTGGAGGGGGGCTCCAGCACTCCATCTAGCTCCCCTTGCAGCGGCGAGCCGGCGGGGCGCGTGCTGCAGCTGCATGCCTGAAGGCTTCCAGCAGCATGGCGGCGTTCCAGGTGCCAGGGTCCCTAAAAGTAGGTGCTGCAGGGTCAAATTGCCCCACCATGGACGAGGACCCCGGCCCGCTGCCCGTCGACGACGACATCCGCCCATTCGGCGACGGCACCGTTGCACAGACACGTCCTGGGTTTGCTTCACAGCGGCCAGAGACGCAGCTCCGGCGTACCGGGCGCGGCGGCTTCGATTTAGTACAGCTGTTGGTTCGTCTTACAGGCAGGCGCCCGCCCAGGAGCAACCTGGAACTGCGCGATGCCCTCTCGCGAGGTGAACTCGGCCACGCCGCCGAGCTTGGTCGCTCAAGGCTTGGAGGAGCACCAGGCGCCGCCTCATGCGTCCTCGTGTTCCCCGAGTCGCATCAACAAGTGCCTCTAGCCTCGGTATCCCGTGTTTCCTTCTGCACCTGCCGACGTCACCAGAACGTCGGCTGCCAGCCCGATGCGCGGCCGACCGTGGAGGCAGGGTCCTCCCCACGGCCCTGCCCGCGTGGCCGTGACGCCTCTTCTTCGGCGCGAATGCTGGCGCGCTCGTGCCGGATAGCAAACCCGGTGGCAGCTCCGCCGCTTTTGTTGCGAGCGGTCAGTGCCTCCAGAGTGCTTTGTGCCATGGGCGCCTCTTCCGCAGAGGGCACAGGCCATGACCCACGGGCTTCGTCAAGAGGACCCGGCCTGGATGCGACGTCTTCTTGACGAGAGGCATGGCGATGAGCAGATACAGTACTGTATCCTTCCTGTACATACGGATTAAGGAGTAATGCGCAATATCATCCGCCATACAGACCATGCTGTGCCTGCCTGATGCGCAGTACTGGATCGTACCTAAGGTACCTTAGGTAGGGTACCTCATAGGTACTGCGCAACCGGGCAGGTCGCAAGTGCTCAGTGTTCGATCCAACCGCAGCTGCCCTGTTCAGGAGCGGCGGCCCTTTCACAGCTGCCCAGCACCCAACAACGGTCCGCCTCCTGCCTTACCCGGAGGCTCGCCTTCGGTACCCTATTGTCTCCTGCCTTCGCACTTCCTCCTCTTTTCTCCCCTCTTTTCTCTCCTCTACTCTCCATCATCGTTTCTTTCGATTATATATTTGCGCACTCCTTCGCCCTCTCGTCTGTGACAGCCTTTCTCTTCGATCACCGACAGCTTCGCCTTGACCGCAGTTGTCTTCCCGTTCGCCTTTTGTGCCATCGTTCCCTTCCCTTCAATCTCCTGCAATTTTCCGTTCAAACTCTAGGTGAGAGTGAATCACATATACATACCTAATGCTTTATTAGACGCAGCAACAAAGAGACAAGGCTGATCACAACTCGCGGCTTAGACTTGGAAACAGTCCGATTCACTCACAATGCTCGCCAAAACCATTCTGGCCCTAGGCGCTCTTGCCTCCTTCGCCGAGCAGACCATTGCTCTCCCATCCGACTACCACGTCAGCATCGTCCGCGACGAGGTTGATGTGACCGCCAAGATTGAGGTGAACACTGGCAAGGACCATAGCACCGATGGAGCTCCGGCCGAGGTGCTCGAGGCCCTCGCAACCAGAGGCGAGGGTAATGGCAACGACACGTCGATCGGGTCGATGCCCTTCTCCAAGCGCGGCCTGGCTTACAACGACGCTGGCATGGCTAATGCCCTTGGCGGCGCCTGCAAGAAGTGCGGCTGGGGCTGGAACTGGGACCAGACCCCTAATGGCTTGGACGGCCGATACAGCTTTGTTCCCATGCTTTGGGGAGACCGCCCCGTCCACACTAACCGCTGGGCTGCCAATGCTCAGAAGGCCATCCAGAACGGCGCCAAGGCCTTCCTCAGCTTCAACGAGCCCGACAACGGCGGCCAGTCCAACATGTCGCCCCAGGCTGCCGCCGAAGCCCACATCAAGTACATGAACCCTTATGCCGGCAAGGTCAAGATTGGCGCTCCGTCCATCACCAACAGCGGCGCCTCCAACCAGGGCGTCAACTGGCTCAATGCCTTCTTCAAGGCCTGCAATGGTCGATGCAGGGTCGACTTCTGCCCCGTCCACTGGTACTCGGACGCTCAGTGGGCCGACACCCTCATCACTCACATCAACTCCGCCTCCAAGGCTTGCAGCGGCAAGCCCGTCTGGCTTACCGAGTTCGCCCCCACCGGCGGCGACGTCAACGGCTTCCTCCGCAAGATGCTCCCCAAGCTCGACGCCCTCGGCTCCCTCGATGCCTACTCGTACTTCATGGTCGCCCAGGGCAAGCTCATGTCCGGCAGCCGAAGCCTGAGCAGCTCCGGCCAGCTCTACGCCACCCTGTAAGGCACCACGACGCGCATGGGCCCGGCTGTTGGTTTGTACACTAGCTAGACGCCGTCCGGGTGTTCTACTTTTCTTCAAGGATATATTCGCGATTGTCAAGTCGCACGGCCCGTGGCAAGCTCATATTTTCGCCGTACATGTTCGACCCATCATCTTCAGCGCCCGGCCTTGGGTGCAACGGCCCGACATCTTGCGAAACTTATAGCGGCGAGAGGTATCAGCGGAACCGAGCCGCATGTGTCGTGGATTCTTCTGAATGTCGTACATATTCGGAAATCCGCAGGCATCATATGGTGTTTGGTCGTTTCACTGCAACAGAGAACGGGGCAGCAGACCGAGGATGCGTGCTTGTTGTATATAGACTGGAGCCCCCACAAGCAGCATAAAAACTCTTTAGCATGGAGCACTCGTGAGATTGCACTGTATGTGGATGTCTGGTGATCTCGTGTGTCTCATGCTGAGCTATGGCTTGCGAGTGTAGCCTAGCACGGCTCTTCTCTAACTACCCTGGTAGCACTCTTATGCGCACGAAGCGTACTATGGAACGGCGACATCATTTTTGGGCAGTGTTGGAGGTTCGTGACTTGATAGGCGAGCGGCCTTTTAGAAGTATGTGTCTGTGTCTCGGCAGCGCCCGCACGCCGTGAGACACACGAAAGTCGGCATCTCGACATGGCCGACGACGAGACACTCGCAAGGCGAGACAGTCCCGGACCGAACCATTAACGACGAAAAGTGGTCTATAGAGGAGCGTAATACATATGTTTCCGGTAGGATCCAAGGATTTGCTATCCAGCACTCTCGCCACAAGGTTGAGTTTCCTACTACGGCTCCCATGCGCGCTTTCCCCTCTTGTGTTCCAGGTGGCAAAGTCTCGGTGGGCAAATTTCTAGGGGTTCGGGAACGAATGGTTCGACTTGGGGTCGACGTCAGGGGATGGCTGCACCTGTGTAGTCCCCGTGGCCGCCACCCTCGGAAAGCAGTAGCTTTCAGGAGCGAAGGGCCCGCAACTCGACTTCAACGGCGGCGGATGATCTGCGAATCTCACTTCGCCGCTCTTTCGCGCCTTTCTGTCGTACGCGGACGGGATGCTCGGGTCCGTCTCACGCCTGATCCTCGTCATGGGGATGGCTTCGGGCGGTGCCTCGGGATCGCCCGGACCGTCCGTGGGGCAATCGCGAGAAAACGAAGGCCGGGGTGAGCTGAGGACGGATATATCGTCCACGGTAATGAGCGATCTCCTGGAGTAGTCGCATGGTGTCGTTAGTCTGATGGAGCTCGGGCTGATGCAATCGGGCGGAACTGCAGCTCTATGGCTCGAGGATGATGTGCTGGGTGTACTGCCCGCGTTATCTCGAGAAGTGACCCATTGAATAACGAGGGCCGAGAATAGAACTGCAGACAGCGTTAGAGCGGAATCAGCAGCGTGGTCTATTCGTCTCATACTGTCGCAATTGCAGCACATCAGACAAACCCAACCGGGCTCTCCGTTTAACGCCATTAGCACAGAGAGGTTGCTGACAAGATGTGTCAGTATCCCTGACACAGACGGCTAAAGGAGATGAGACTTGCACAATACTGCTGATCAGCGTGCAGATGGCACCGATGAATGTTCTAACTGCGACTGTGCGTAGACGACGGTTTGCTGGCGTACGGGCCATATTCTTGAAACTGTACAGCCCTGTCTCGTGTCAACCGTGTTGGGTCGCGTGCTTTTGCCACGGAACTCACTGCTTAGGGGTACGAGGAACATCAGCGTCAGGTACACGTTGGCGATTGCGTCGAAAGATATGAGGGGGATCATGGCTGGGCTCCTCATGCCGATGATGCAATGTCCATCCTTCAAATCGGCAATGCGACTATACTTGTCAGCAGCCTTCAGAGAAGGCAGTTGGGAACGGAATGATAGGCTCACAATATAAAGTTTGGTATTGCTACGACGACATATATGCCGAGCATGCCACAGGAGTTGAAGAGGTACAGTCTGGACTGTAGCCTCCCCTTTGGCGTTGCGCGGACAATGTGCTGCAGACAGTGTCAGAGAAACAACTCACGCTCAAGCGAGGGCACGCACGCTTTTCTCGACCAGGAAGACGTATATGAACTGAAAGACAGAGTCAATATGCAAACCCATTCAAGGTCACAAAGAGAGCCGCTCGGGTGGCTCACAATCTGCAACAAGATTCTCAGTTAGCCGCGTTGTGTCGCTCCAGTCAGGGGTTGCTGCAGTCCAGAACCTTCGTCGTGATGTAGCACGCGAGACAGAGCAGTATGGCACTATCGCACGTTTTGTGGTTGGCGTTTATGCCGAGAGCGTGCTGTAGCGTAGCCGTTCCGGTGACGAAGAGGTATGAATCGACGTAAATGGCAAACATCACTTTGCATCCGTTAGCAGGTGCCCAGGTGTCAGGGTAATGGAGAGTCTCCGCGGATGGCCTCTTACGCCACACGACGAGCGGTAACCGGCGCCATGATCGAATGGCCAGAGCCCTCTGTGCTGTAGTCCAGTGTTAACCCCAGCCAGTGGACTCCTGGAGGCAAGGTACAAGTAAGACATGGGCGAAGCTCACTAATGAACAAGGTGAGGATCGTCGTGGCCGCCAGGGCGAGCACCATGCTCGCGATCCGACCCCCTTCGGGTACGCCCACAGGCGGCATACCCGCTACCGGCGGTATCATGTCTTCATCGGGTGAGAGTCGAGGCGGCGCGGCGTCTCGCGGCGTCGTGGAGCTGGCGAAGTCCAGATCGGCACAGGGGGGACGACAGGCGACAATTTGGGATGTCTGAGGGTTCCAAGAGAAGTCAAGGATGTTCCAATGGAGAAGAAGACGAAGACGAAGAGAAGGATAAGACAAGGACGTAGAGGCAGCTCAGGAAGCCCAGTGCTGTCGCCCGTTCGAGTCGCTCTGCCAGACGGTCGCTGGTCAAGGGAAGAGGGAAGATGCTTCGAAGCGTCTCTAGGTTGATGCCGCAGACAAAGGTATCTCGTTTCACCGGGCCGCAGAGATGGCTTGATCGACCAGCCAAGGCGGCGAGCCATTTGCCAAGATGGTATTTCGTGCCGTGCCATGAAAGAGGAAGGCACGCCTGCTACGATACGAGTGGATATCGGGAAGAGCAGCTGTTGCAGATTTACGTCGCTCTTTCCCGACGCTGCAACAAAGGGATAAACAGCACGCGACTCCACAAGACGGCTACGATAGCTCACGCAGGCTCGACATACCATAGCTTGCCTGGCATCACGTAAAGAAACTGTACCGTGCACAGACTACCTGCGCGGGAAAAGGACCATGTACTCCGTATATATTCATTCTGATTCGAGCACATCTCCATGCCCCGATATGCCAAGCAACAAAACGCCGTGCCATGCTCCGAATGCTCCTGTGCCCATCCCGTGTTCTTGTTGCTCCCAAACGCCTCTCATAGCAGCATAGCCAAAGCACCGAAACACGCCCACGACTGCGTAGTCCGACGAGGAGCAGCAAGGGCCCAGATGTTGGCGGAGTCCAGCCCGCCAAGGCCCGGCTATCCTGGGTCACCGTCGTTTCAGCAGCCCACACAACCTCGTGCAGCCTCTGCTGCTCACGCAGCTTCCTCAGCTTCGACTTTCTCGGCGGCGCTGCGCGGGCTGGGCGCGGGTCCGAATCCGAAACTTGTCCTTGAGCTTATCAGTCAGGCGCGCGCCATGCGGCCTGCTGTCGGCCGCGTCCGCTGCTTCTGGCTCGTGAGCCTCATGACCATGTTCATTCCTCTGAGCCCTCATCTGTCGGAGGGCTTCGATCCGCTCTTCCACGGGTGCTTGCCGCAGCCTGTTGACGTCGAACAGACGCGACAAGCGGTGGCTATGCGTGCTAGACGAAGCATGCTCGTCTTCGCCCTCCATGGCCAGGGGAGGGGCAAGGGATTCGTTATCGCCGGCGGTCGAGCCTTCATTGGCGTTGCCCTGATTCGGACGAAGATCCAGTCGACTATTTAATGTTAGGAACTGTTGTAGTATCGAAAACTCTCACGACACTTACCAGAGCGGACATGTCCCGGACACGTTGACCAGCCAGGGGTCGACGCAGTGGGGGTGGAACTGGTGGTTGCACGGCAAGACTCTGACGTCCTCTCCCACCTTAAAGTCTTCGGTACAGATGGAGCAGCCCGGGTGGCTGTCTTCGCCATGCCCGGTGTCCGTCACAGCGGAGGAGTTCCGCGTGGACCTCGATGTCTCCCCGCTCGGTCGTCGGGACCCAGGAGCGGCCGCTGCGCCGGTGACTGAATCGGGTTGCCTGTCATCCACGGATCGCTGTGTTGCAGCATCGTGACCATCCGTCGTGGCCGTGTCCAGCTCGAGCTCGGGGTCCGGCTTGGTAGGCTGCTGGTTCCCGAACTTGACAATGGGGATGGTGTCGAGCACAGCGCGGGCCAGCCCCTTGGCTCGGCTCTGCCGCGGCCTCCCGCCGAAGGCGCCCCTCGGTCCATATCGCTCCGGGTAGCGGTGCGCCCTTATGGCGCCCGTGGCAATGATGATGAGGAACAGCAGGGTGATCAGGCCCGTGATACTATACAGAATGCTCATCGCCACAGCGGAGTTGCTACCTCCACTGCCGCTGTCGCCGCTGGCGCTCTGGTTGTCGGTAGCATTACCGGAGATGAGGACCTTGACGTCGCGCCCAGCCTTGGTGCCGTTGAGAAAGTTCAGGACCTCGCTCGCCTCGCCCGCGTCCGCCATGGTCAGTATGCTGGTGTAGGGGAGAGAGTCGGTGTCGCTGATGGAGCACCAGTTCTTGTTGGTCGAGTAGAGGACGATGGCCTTGGGCTTCTGCTTCATCAGGTCGTTGAGCATCTTATCGGGGTTGATGAAGCTGTCGTCGCTTGGCTTGTCACAGGATAGATATGCGACGTCGTCGTGGTCTGTGATTTCGTTGAAGTTGGTCACGTTGGCAGGCTTCATGTTGCCGTATATCCGGACAATCTGTCATGGCGCCACGGTCAGCAACGAGGCTGTGTGCCAGATGGCCCGAAGTAGACTCACCCCGCGAGCAGGACTCGACTCGTTGAGGCCGAGATTTGACGTCAGCGGGATCGTGGTTAGCTGGAGGCCCGGCTGAGCGGACAGCGTCAACTGCAGGGCATTGTTGGACGCCCACTCGGGGACCTCGCTCTCCGCCTCCGTGGTGACGCCTCCATCATCGGCTCCAACAAAGGCAGCAGCGAAGAGCAGGGCGGAGAGCAGCGTCGTCAGCCGGCTGGCTCGGCCGAAGGACGGCACGGCCATGGCCGATCGGAGGGTCGCGAGGAGCCGAAGCGGCGGACCTGCCGGGCTGTGTGCGAACGTCGATAGGACGCTTAGGAGGGATATCGGCGTCCCGGAGATGTGGTGCCGCAGACGTCTAGGCGAAGAGGGAAAGTTTGCGTATGAATAGCCAAGGCGGCAGTCGAGAGGAGCCGCGGAGGCCACGGACGAGCTCGGGCTCTGTCTTAGTGGGAGAGGAGCGGCGACATTGGGCGAGCGATTGGCGAGTGCCGCAGCTGGATTCGCTCGCGACGAGATTGAATCGGGCGCAAGACGGCAGAGACGCAGACGGAGTCGGGGTCGTAGGAGATGGGCGAGCGGGAGAAGGGTGGATTAGGGGGGCCGAGTGGTTCGTGCGGTCGGGAGAAATGTACGACGGCGATGCAGGAAAGCGGATGGATCGAGCCCGGAGATGGATGGGACCGCAGCGAGCGGACTTGAGAAGGGGGGAGATGTGTATAAGAGACAGCAGTGGGAGTTGAGCCCCTAGGAAGGCGGCGCAGTGTCAGCGTCCATGGGGAGGTGCTGTGGAGTCGGGGCCCCGGGGCCTGCTGGAAACGGCCGCTAAAGGTTCGTGGGAGCGCTTGGCCAAGGCGCTGGGCGGCAGTGGTACTCGGCCCGGCAGCCATTCGACGCCCGCAGCGCAGGTACCCCGCCGGCAGCGCGCCACGCATTGATGTCTGGGCGCCAGCGCCCGCGACCACTTACAGCGCCGGCCCGCGGTGCAGCTGCCCACCGCTGCCAGACGCTACAGGCTCGGCGCGACACTCGGGGGCGGCACTACGATGGCATGCCAGAGGCGACCCAATGGCGGCCGGGCCGGGTGGGCCGGCACTGAGGCTGGTCTGGCGGGCGGCGCAGTCCCATCACCATCAATCGCGCGCCCGCGGATGTGACAGACGAACCCTCGCACGCATGATTCACGTCGCTCCTTGGCACGAGAGAGGAACTGCCGTAATATCACGCAGAGCGCACTCTAACGAGCGGCATCGTCACTCTACCTTTCGGGTGGTCATCCAATTGCCTCTGGGCGGCCAGACTCATCTCACCGAGTTCCGCGTGTGGGCGGTGCGTGATGCAGTTCCAACACGGATGAGCGGCAGCGGCGGAGCGCTCGGAGTCGTCGACGCTCGTGACCGGGCGCCATTGGAATCATGATGCAACGACGTGAGATGACGACGGGAACGCTGCCGCCACGCGCGCGCCCGGCGCCTCATCCCCAGAGCCCTATCCCGTCGCGTCTGCAAGGCCCTTGCGCAACGACACGCAGAACCAGCCGCAGCAGCCACAGTGGCACATCCGTCGTGCTTCGAGTGTCACAGCCACCAGAACTGGGCGCGGGCGTCGTCAACGCGAGAGTCTCGCAAGTCTGCAGCCCTGGGTGAGCATCGCGATGCAACCCGCTTTCCGCGCGCGCCGCCGGCCTCTGCCGCCTCCACACCAAGGACCCCCAGCACATGAAACGGCCGCCCCCTAGATTGTAGCACGGCCGGTGCCGTCGACGCAGCAGCTTCCGGGCCTTCGGAACCTCCACTCTTGCGCCAACAATAGACCCCCGTCGTCCCGCCAGGTTTCCCCTCAACAGCAACCGAACCGAGTCAACCGACCCACTGCGGCACCTTTGTGTACTTTGTACAAGTCCACTCGTGCGAAGACAACAGGAGGAACGTCTAACTTGGTGACCGTCCGTTCAACGAACTGTTCATCCTCGCGCTGCGGGGCCTTGGTACGTGGAACGCGCGAGAATCCTTCTTCTCCATGTCATCTGCGACGTCACCACCGGGCGTGGCCCAACGACGCCCGCCGTGTGCGAGACACGCTTGGTGAGACTCTGAGCAGCCCGAAGTGAGACCTCGAGGGCCACGAGACTAGGTTTCGGACGGCAAGAAACAGGCTTGCCCAACCCGCCAAAGAAAGCAGCGGAAGCACGTCCAAGACCCCGTAATGAAGACTTGCACCCTCTTGCGGGTGCACCTCCCGCGCTCCGCTGCGGAACAAACAGGACGTGGACGCGCCGTCGTCGTTGGACGCGCTTCGACGCCGCCTGGGCTCAGCCAGCGGCCAGCTGCCGGCCATCAGACGACGGCGCGCGTCGTCTGCGACAACGGGGTGGCCGAGCCCGAGACTTGCTCTAGTCTCATGCTTCGAATGCGTGAAAACTTGCCAGTCGGGATGCATGATCGAATCGTTCAAGCATCGTCAATGGCGATAATATGCTGCGGCCGAGGGATGAATCTCGACTCCCACTTACCGCCGCCCGGACCCCCGGCTATCCGCCCGGCCCGTCAAGTGCCGGGTCTCGGAAGCGTCCCATGCCAACTACTTGGCGCCTCACACTTCGGCAACCCACCTCCCTTCACCATGGATACCTTGGATACTTGCGAATATCGCGGACGCTGCACACGTCGCCCGATACAGTACTGAGAGCGATATGCCACGGACGCTCGCCGCCAACATTGTTCCACGCCAGTCGGCCTAGCCGTTCCCGCACAAAAGGACCGTGACGAACTGCCGTCCCGTGCGCCTGACCTTACGGCGCACCGCCACTTTTTGTTGTTTCCCAAGAGGGACGACAACGTTAAAACAACTAGCGTGGCAGCCAGTTTCTTTTGCCGCGGGACTATAACAGCCTGTGCGTTGCCATTCACGCCACATACTTGGCTGATGGGTTCGTGTCTATCAGACCTGGTTGCATGGCGCGGCGAGACAGACCGGCGTATGTCTGTAGAAATAGCAAGGACGGCGTGGAGGCCTGGCCGACGTGGCGCCGAATGTGTTCATTAGTCACGCAGCCTGGACTCGATGTATAAATCTGCGGATCAGGAAACACAAGCGTTGCCCGAGGTAAATGTGCATGAGCTCGTATAACACTCGTGGATCTGATCGACCGAGGCCCTGAACGGCGGCGGCGTGACGCGACCACTGCCGAGGCGGTTGCCCGGTGGATGCCCTTTGTGGCGGCGTCGTGAGGTTGTCCGCAGATCACCGCCAGTGGCCTCGCCCAGTCCACCCAGGTCGGCTTGCTCAAATCTCTTCCATATCCTCCAGGTCATCCAGCGGCGGGAATTCACCCACCTCGACTCTTTCTGGCCGCACAAAGACACCGTGCTTGAGCTCGGATGCCTCACCCCAGTATCGGGTTCCCGCGATGCTGCCGTCATTCTTGCCTACCGGCTCGTCTAGCTGTACTCCGACCCAGGTGCCTCGGCCGGCGGGAATCTCCTTGACCTCACCCACGTATCGTACCACGCCGCGGCGGGCGTCTTCGCTGCCGACCCGGCACCGCCTACCCACTTCAATGCCGCGGCGGCGCACCTCGTCGTCCAGGGCTGCGAGCTTGGCCTGCTCGTGGTCAGGCGCGTTCGGGTCGAACCGGCCCAGCTTCTGCGCCTTCTTCCATGCCAGCACAGAGTCCGTCTTTTTCTCGTACTCGTCCTCGGGCATCACGTACTTGTCCACGCCGGACGTGTCGGTGTAGTTGGGCCTTGCGCCCGGCGGTCGGGCATCTCCCACCTGCAACGCGTCCGCTCGCCGTCAGCCTGTGTTCTCGGTCATCCCGCACAATCTTCATGACCAGACTGGCCCGTAGCAGTAGTGCAATGGCGGAGACGAGTGATCCGACTTGGACCTGGGCGCATGGAGAATTCGTCGGGCTGGAAGCCTCATGCCGACCCATGCATCACTCTGCCCCTCTTCTTGCCTTTGCAGGCGTGTCGTTTCGCGTCATCGACCCGCCTGGTCATGCGGTCGCTGGCCCCTCCGCTGCGCCAAACCGCCTTCATGGCGAAACGTAGCATCGATTCAGCAGGCAGAGCGGCCGCATGAGACATTTTCCGGCATGCACGCATGGCAGCACGGTGAGAGCCGGGCACGACGGGACGGTGCTCGAGGCCGGGACGAAACCCCAGGATCCTGGACGCGGTGCCGTCTCGCTGGGGGCGGGAGCAAATCAGAACAGGGAGAGGCCAAGACTTACATGCAGCTCGGCGTAGGGAGCCAGGGGGAAGCTGGACAGGTGTATGCTGTCCTCGTCGGCTCCGTCAATGGGGATGCGTTCCGCCCCTGCTGACGGCTGGAGACTCAGTATCTGAGACGAAGGGGGAATGCCAGTGATGGTCTCGAGCTTGGCGCGGAGCTGCGTGATGGTCCACGACGGCGTGATGCGGCGCTCAGAGGCCGCATTCTCCGAGATGACCTGGAGAGGGACGTCGGCCATGATGTCTGCTTGCTGCGACGGAAAATCAACCGGTGGTCGGAGCGGTTCTGGACGATGGTCTGTCGTCGTCGCGGACGCGGGTTGGAGGTCGTCGCCCTGTCTCGGAGAAACAAGGTGGGGTGGGGGCTAAAGGGGGGAAATCAGGGTCTCCCCTCTGGAGCCTCGTTGAGTGAGTGTGAGTGCTCGGAGCGCGGCGATGGCGTGCGGGCAGCTGGGAGCAGGGTATAGAATGCAGAGCCGGGCAAGGCAGAAACGAGGGCGCCGACGTGGGTTTGTTTGTTCTCGAAAGCGACAGCGTCGGGTGCACTTGCCGTGATAAGCTCTCCCACTCGAGGCACGCACCCAAACGAGGTACCCAAGGTATAAAGTACCGCGTGCGGTCGCGGCGCTGCCCGGTTCGCGGCGCGTCGCCATTGGGCCCCTCCAGGGCTGCCAGGACGCTGAACCACCTCCTGGAACCGCCCACAGTGCCGTGGTGCCTGCCGTATGGAAGGCGACTGACGATCTGCGGCCCGCATGAGTCTTCCACGGGCCCTTGAGCAGCCCTATGAAAAGTGCAAAATGCCCATGGGATTAGTACCTGCCCGGCACTTTGTCGCCCGGCGCCTGATCAAGAGACGGTGACGAGGTGGTCCCTTTTGCCCTGCGACTCCAAGGACGGGGATTGCCCCGCCAAAGTCGAGATGAATCACATCACCGCGGGGCTCTGTCCTTCAGTCCGCTCAGCATGAGCACCAGGCCTCTGCTGCCTTGCCCCGCGAAGGGGCCAGGTCACGGACTGGGCTTATACGCACCGCGCTGTTCATCTGGACCTCACCTCAGGTTGTTGTTGTTGTTGTTGTTGTCTCAGAATGGCGTCATTTCCATTTGCTGCGATATTGCGCCGGTTCCTCACCCTCGAGCGCAGCCGTCCAATGCCCCTCGCTGCCCCTCACTGCCCCTCGCCAGTCAAGCCCATCTGGGCAGGACCCTTCACTAGCCACGATTATTAGGTTGCGAGCCACAGCGCACACTACGCCGCCTCATCTGCTGTCGGCCAACTGGAGCAGTGAGGGCTTTGTCTGTACATAATACATAATACGTGCCCACGGCAACCCAGCAAGCCTCCTCGCCTTGCATTGGTTCTGGCGTCACCGCCCACCGTTGCTGTACCCTTCACCATCGTCACAGTCGCACAAACCACGTCTGCTGTTCGGCAAACTCTGCCCTCCTCCTTTGCTTCACCGCATGTCCACCACCACAAGCTCTTTGGGCTTGGGTTGCGCTGCGGGATCGCCGCCAGCCATGCAGAGACGAGGCGATTCTACGCCCTGACGTAGCAGTCGCAATGCAATCCGCTGTGCTCGGCCGTCAGCTCTGCCCTTGGTGTCATGCTGTGTGACCAGGCCTCAGGTTTTGAGTACGCCCGCCCACCGAGATGCCCCATGCCAACAATACTAGGTAGGTAGTCGTCTCAGGGCTCTCTGCTCTGGAAACCCATGACACAGGCGGGTTGCTGGAGGCCAAGGCCGACATGCGGCATCGATGCAGCCCGCTAGGCATTGACAGCTGCACGCGCGGCGGATTTGGCACTGCAGGTTAGCAAACGATGATATACGCATGTTCCATGCCCATGCTGCAAGCGTAGAATCGACCGGGCTCCTCGGCAGCGACGGGTCCCGGTGCCCTGAGTGCAACATCATTTGCCTGCCCGGTCCGCCGGCTAGCCGTGTCGCCCTGGCCTTCCGGTGCCGCTGCACTTTGCTTTGAGGATCGAAGCGGTCTGCCGCGCATTGGGCCAAGCAGTCGACACAGCAAGCAGTAGCTGCTCTTGCGCTGCAAGTGCACAGGCTTGAAACACCACCTTCACGACCACGGGCAATGTTGTCTGTCAACGTGCTTCGTCTGCCCCCGCGTCAGGTGGCAGCGACAGGACCGCCCAGCCTTCTTGAGGTGTCACCCAGACATTGGCATTGGGTAGGAGCCGAGATAAGCCTATAGCGTCCCAAGGAATTGCTTTGCATGGAGCCATCTCGAACCAAGAAACAAGGCAAAACACCCGGGGTAGAAAAAGCAAGTCGTCCCTAGTAGTGGCAAGCACATTAGTGAAACGGGACAGCGAGCCCCCAAGAAGAAAGTCTTGACGGCCCAAGCACCAGCAGTTCGCCGTCTGAACGAGAAAGATGGCATGCTGCGTCTTGATACCTGACACTTGGGAGATGCCCAAGGTCAAGAGGCCTCTCACCGCCACGTTTGCGCGGCGTCGTGGGCTGAAGCGCCAGCGTCATCATCGACGTTGGGCTGTGCTCGCTTCTGCCGTAGAGCCCTGTCCTCCTGACTGCGCCCCGGCATGTCCCTGTTATAGAGGTCTGCAGTCGTCGTACCGGGTGCCTCGAGGCGGTGGCGGTTGATGTCATATGGCGTGTGGGGTGCCCATAGCATATGAGTTCATGATTTCTGTTGCCGCAGGGGCGTTCGCATCACCTCCTGCTCACCGATCTCACCGCTGGAGTGGGCGATGCATTTGGAGGCGCCATGCCGTGCCTCACCTTGAAGATGACGTCGGATGCTCAATGCACGGGGGTTGAGCTACCGCTCCGCGGAGCCATCCCGCACGTTGCCTGAGAGCAGAAGTGGGTGTGATGCACGCTGGCCAAAGTAAGTACATTGCCTTGTTGAACAGCTTGGCGCCTTGCTCACCGGGCCGGCCCAAGCCCGCCTCCGAGTTCGTCCCCTTGAAAGCCACGTATGTGTATGGGAGCCCAACGGCCCGTTCACTGGAACTCGACACGCCTGCGCAATTCTGTGCGAAGTCCACCGTAGGCACGTGTGGGTGTGTGCGTGTGCTGGTGCAGCGCGCTTGTTCGAGGTCGCTCCTAACAGCCGCACGCCACCCTCCCGGATTAGTCCATGGGGAACCAGCCTCGCGCAACGATAGGCCACGGGAGAGCGGCCGCCGGCGCTGCATACATATGCCTCGACTCACTTGACTTGGCCGCGGGCCTGGGTGTGTCGGGCCCTCCAGGCACAATGCCTGAGCCACCAGGTGGAAACCGAAACTCGGCTTCTACTGTGCAAACTCGCTCAAACCATCGTGACTTGTAGCCTGGTCATAGGGCCTTGTCTGGCAGATACAATCCGAGGAAGGCAGTGATTTGGTCTCCGCCCGGCACGCCAAACAGAGCGAAACGGGCCGGGCGTGACGATTCGTCGCCGCCATCCTCGCTTGGGCATCAACACTTGGGCGTGGAGCCGCGCTTCGCCTTTGGGCCCGAGGCATGACACCCACGATGCCACGCATCGCATTGCACTAGAGCCACGGGACGGGATGACCGGGAGCGACGGCCACTCTCGCTGCAGTCGGTCTGTCGTTGCCAGTGATCGACTTCTATATATGGCAGTGGGCTTCGCCTCAGTCGCGACTTACACGTGTTAGCCAGGTGATGCGTTTTGGGCCGATAAGGCGGTGTCGAGTCCGTCGACCACATCCGTTGCCCTGTCGTGGCGGTCACGGAAGAGGGGCTAGCCACCGGGGAGGTGGACCTTGTGGCGTTGGTGCAAGGGGACACTGAGTTTGCAGGTCCGGTTACAGAAGAAGGAGGGGGGGG